ATTTGATCATTTCAAAGTGCCAGCAGGAAAAAAAAAAAAAGGAAAAAAAAAAAAAAAAAAAAGGAAAGGAAAGGTTGCACAGCCCTTGAAGTCTGGCTGTGAATTAAAGCAGCATTTGAACTTCTGATATAATGCAGACCAGGCAGCTTGGAATGTCATTTCCATTCCATTTTGCTTCCTTAGGCAGCAGAAACAAAGACTGTCTGTGTAAAGAAGAGTGAGAAGAAAAACACTGGGTAGGACACACTGGGCAACGCTGCACCTGACAGGGTATGCAGTGTTCCCTGGGCGACTTAAATGCACTCATGGAACTGTGTCTGTGTTCTCAGGCTATTCAGCACCACAGAAAGTCTTCAGGCTCCAGGAAACTTCTGCAGGCTGCTCAAAGCCAGAAGAGAGTCCAGTCCCCACGTCTGCTCAGAGAGAGACAACACCAAGCAGGAACAGCCCCATAGAGAGGTACCTGAGCAGGCCTGAGGGCTGCAGGTGGGACACGCAGGGTGCCCTGCAATGCCAGGGAACTCCAGGCACAGGTGGGAGAGCAGGCAATGACACAGGCAGATATGGCAGTAAAGAAAGGGGCAGGATTTCAGGAAGAGCTCAAAATTTAGAAAGAAATTCCAAAATTCCTTTGGAAGACTTGTTTTTCTTCAGGAGTTTAAGGTGCTTGCACATTTCCAGACATACATACCAAAAGACACCATGCAATCATCTGCCCATGCTGTCGGTGGCCAGTGACAGCAGAGCCCCACAGCACAGGCAGGCAGAGACCACAACTTCCAAACCCTCACAGTTGAGCCTGACTGCAAGACAGGCAGGAAAAAGAGTATAAACACTGCTATACTATTTAAATACATAAGTCACAAGCTGTCTTGAAGTTACAAAAAAAAAGAGTTCATGTTGCAAGTCATAATTTCAGGGAAGGAAGAACAGGTATGATACATGAAAACTCCTCAGAAATAGACAAAACTGTGCACAAGATAATGACTTCAGTTTCACTGACTTCTCAGAATGGGAAGAAAGAGAAGGTAAAGAAATTGCTGCTTCAGTTCCCTCTTTACACATCAAAAAGACCTGCTCTTGATTAAGCTTAAGAAGTCCTCTTCCACTAACAGCCCACAAAGGGCTGGGCACTAAAAGCAAGTGCTCAGCACTAAGAGACTCCCCAAACTAGCAGCAAGAAGAGGTTTATTGAAACATTCTTTGAAATATTTCAAAGAATGGATGACCACAATGTTCCCAAGGACAGACACCCTTTGATATTTTTGCCTCCATCCAGCGGACAGACCCACAAGCAGATGCATGTGCTGTGGCAGAAATTTAGGGATTGCAGCCACTCTCTCAAGTTCAACACACAGCAATACACTTAGAAAGATGCATGGGAGATAGGGACCCAGTATGGGTTTTCCTGGTTTAACTCCTTGGAACTTTGCTTCCTAATGGCATTTTCATTTTTTTTATTTATTTTTTTTATTTATTTATTTTACTGTCCTCACAGAGCCACAGACAAATTTAGGCTGCTAGGGACTTCTGAGGGTCCCTAGCCCAGCTCTAAGCCCCTTGCTCAGGGCTATGTCCAGGTGTGTTCTGAAAATCTCAAAAGGTGGAGGTGCTACAAGCAAGCAAAATACCCTTGTAGCCATTCCTGTCCAGCTAATAACTCTGGCCTGAGTGTGACCTCTGCAGGATGTCGCCTACTTCCAGAGAACGCTGCTGTCTGTGCTGGATGGCATTATTTAGAAAATCACCTTGTTCAAGTTGCTAGCTATCTATCATCCTGTAAAGCTCTCCCTGTGATTCGCCACCTCTGCTGCTGAAAACACAACTAGCTCTCGTTTTTTCCAAATAATAACTTCTGCCTCCAGCTACTGGATCTTGTTCTGGTTTGTCAATCAGATTGAAGAATCTGTTATCTAAAAAGATACATGAGATTTCTGAGGTCTTTTACTCTCCACACAAACCCAGAGCTCACCAAAACACAACCTGGATGCCAATGAAGAGGAAAGTGTTGACTTTCCACCTGAGGATTTACCCCTCTCAGTGGGGGGTTGGGCTGGGATTGCTCATTTGGGGGATTTGTTTGCTTGGCAGGCTGCACCAGACCCATAGCTATTGCACAAGGCTTAATGTATGGCAGGTGGCACAAGTCTCAAATAGATGCGAGGGGCCATAAAGCCAAGCCCTTCAGACCCCGGCTAAGCTTTTAAACAAGTGCCATGATTTCTAAAACTGTGAGGCACTGAAACTCCTATTGATTTCTGTGGAAGACGTCAGATGCCAGGCTATCATTAGCAAAATCAATCTTTTCAATTAAGACTTCAGGCATCAATTACTGACATCAAGACCTCTGCAAATTCGAAGAGAAACATGAGCCACCACCACCACCGGAGTGGGAGGGGTGAGGTGAGAGGCTATGATCCTCCCTGACTGTAAGGAAAAAAGCTTCTATGCATAGGAGGAGCCAGATGTTATGAGAACAGGAACTTGAAGCAATGCTATTCTGATTTTGTTTGTGTTCCTCTGTGTATGTATTTTGGTATTCAAATTAAATTAGAGAAAATGGCAGAGGAAAATAATGCAAACTAATTACATTTAAGTAGACGTTAGCAAGACAATCTTTGACTTCTTCTATCCGTCTACTGCAATTAAAGAGCCGTCTGGGTTTTCTGTGCCTATTACCCTGCAATTTTGTTGCCAGCACAGGCTCCTTTCAGGGGGCAGATAGAATGGAAGAAACCAGAGGATGACAGGGAATATCGGTCCTTCCTGACATCTTCCGTGTCACCAGACAGCGTTTCCAACAACATCAATACGAGGTTCCTTAGAAAGGAGCGCAGCAGCCGTGCCAGCAGCTCAGGCACAAAGGCAGCTACACTTTCCTAAGGGTTTGTGTTTTTTTCAGGTTTGACTCACGGGAAGCAGCGGTTCAAGGGTGCTTTGGGCAGATGGGCAAACATGCTCCATGGCCACATTAGCCCCGGGTGTGGCTGGAGCAGGACAGGCAGCTTCAGGGGAGATCTGCCACACCTGTCCCATGTCTGGAGATGCTCCAAATTCACCTGCTGCATCAACCGTGTGCCAACCCACAGCGAGGGCAAGGTCAGAAAAAAAAAGGTGCTCATCTACCAACACTGCCCCTGGCTCACCTAAAAGCCACAATGGCATCCAAAGCTCTCCGAGCCTGCCAGGGAGGGTTTCAGCCCTCTGCACCATGACATGGAGCATGGAGGGTAAAAACCACGGTGTGTGTAGAGCCAGGACTGCCTAATTTCTGCTCTCAGTACTAGGCCCTGTACTTGGCTCCTGCCTGTGCTCTTTTTTCTAACTGTCAGCCAGGAGGCTGGTCTCGTATTCGCTTTCACAGGTGTAATCCTGACCCAGCAGCCTTGGCTCGCCTCCTCTTCCTGGGAGAGCCTCTCCCCTGGTGCTGCCTCCTGCGGCAGGAGCAGGACGGAGTTCGGCCTCCCCTGCTTCCCTGGGAGTTATCTAATCGGGTTCCCTGGACTTTGCCTCGAAGTCTGCCATAAAAATACCACAGACGCCGCGAGTTTCTGCTGCTTCTCCTTCCTTATAATCCCCCCTCCGTGACTTTGTCCCACCAAGGGGAGGGAGGCAGTGCAGACACGGCGCTGAGCAGAAGGACACCTCCTTGCACCTGGGAGCTTCCGTGCTTCCTGGCACAGAGACAAAGAGCACGGCAACCCTCTGGCCCTGAGAGAAACCAAACCAGGGCACAAAGGATGCTGCAGGGGGAGAGGGATGGACCGAGAGGCCCGGCTCTGGGCTGTGCGGTGTGAAATAAAGCTGTTCATGAGGGAGAGGGGGAACAGGGCTGGGAGCTGCAAGGTGTTCCTGCTGCGGGCACGTCCTGGCCCTTTAGAAAGAGCTGTGCCTGGCTGAGGGTCAGAAAGTCCTATTCAAAGCGCCTTGGGAACAGCAAGCGTCAGCATCACCCAGAGACAGCCCTGCAGGGCATATTTTCCAAACGAAGAACTGCTGGCAAGCCTGTCATACCGCACAGGGGAAATCCCTGGAAATACTAGGCCAGTTTGGCTCCCGCTCGCGAGCCTGCGTAGCCCAGTGTGTGTCAGCACCCCCCCAGCCCTCGCAGCCTCCCGGATGATCTCGAGGTCTTTATTGTTTCATCCGTGGAGGGGCAGAAGGCGCGCCAGCCTAATTGCCTGCCCCAGCCAGCTCTCTGCAGCCACGCTGCACCTGCGGGAAGCCAGAAAGAGGAGAAATCTCCTCGCCACGGCCTCTCCGTGGCATGGCAGAGGAACAGCAGGCTGCCTGCAGCCCTGCCTTGTGCCCTGAGGTGCTCAAGTGGAGCATCGGGCCTGGGCTGCCGGGGGCAGCCGTGCTGGGATGGTCTCCTTCCACCCCGTTTCTTGTACAAGGCACACTTCTGTCACCGTGCCACATCCCATGAGGGTCGTCCCCCCCTCACAAAGTCCCTGCTGGGGAAAGCAGGGCCCACCAGGCTGGGCAGGTGACACAAAAACACCAGAGGAGCACACAATGCAACACACAGCACGAAATCCACCTTAGTGAGGCAGCTTTGCCTCACTGCTGAGCATCACCTTCCCTTCCAGGCGTTTCCCAAGGCCTTCAGGTCTCTGCCTACACCCCCCTGCAGCCCCAGGCACCAGGCAGCCCCGAAATCCCACAGGGAAGTGACAGTGGCCCCGGTGCAGCCCCCATGATCCAGCAGTAGCCCCCATGCCAAGACTCACAGGGAGGCAAGCCCCCAGAAACCCACCACGGAGCCAGACAACCCCCTCCACTCATTATCCAGCCACTAACAAATTTAACAGGCGCAGAGAAGTTCGCAATGCTGTCCGATGTCCCCCAATAAATCTGCTCGCAGGGGGGCAAACCAACAGGGACAGGCACACGGGGCTGCTCTGCCTGCCGGGAGGGGAGGGCAGGAGGAGCCCGAGGCAGAGCCCTGGCGCAGGCGGCGGGGCTGTCTGGCTCTGTGACCAAATGCCCGTGGGTACCTGCGCCTCCAGTTTCCCCGGGCGGAGGCAGATGATGGGGCTTGAATTGCTGCGGTGGCCTGATGGGTTGAACGAAGGTGAAACACCCCTCGCTGGTGGAGTAACAGCTCGTCTGCAATGATGCTAAGCCAGCAAACAGCCTCGGCACCGAAGGAAGCACCTCCTTCTCGCCTTGTCTCTCCGGGGCGATCAGCTCACACCTCTATCTCGCCTCCTGAAGCCTTGCTTTAGTTTCCTGAAAGGCAGACACGAAAACATGAACACCCTGCGTGTCTCCATGAGTCACTCCCTATCTCCGATCAAACCGCAAGGGATCAGGGCTCTCCAAAGAGGGCACAGCCGGTGGCAGAACAAAGGGAACAACAGGGCTATGCAGGATGATCCCATCCTTTGTTAACCCTCCGGGGAGCCTGCCTGGGGAAGGCAAAAGGCGGCCAACACCCAACCCACCCTCGCAAGGGCTGCCTGAGACCTCTGCAGAAACCCCTTCCCTACAGCACCCAGCGCTGGGTGCCCCGGGGAGCCCCCTTTATGGGGGCTGCAGGGGGCTGTCAGGGGGCCGGGCACAGCCGGGAGGGCACCGTTCCCCGCGGGGGATGCTCGGCGAGGCGCTGCCCGGCGGGGGGGACCTGTTTGCAGGGCGCTGCACACCCTAGCCTGCCTCCTCCTCCTCCTCCCTCTTCCAGTTCAGCCTCGCCACCAAAACCCTCCCCACGGCAGGGGGCAGCCCCCAGCGCCGGCAGCCCGGCTGTCACCCTGCCCTGCGGGCTCCCACCCCAAACCCCCCGACCCCAGCACAAAGCCACGGCTCCGCACAAAGCTGGGTGGGGCCGCACCCTCCCCAAAACCCCCCCCTCAAACCCACGCGATGCTCCCCACACCCGTGTCCCCGTTCCCCCCGTGTGGGTGCCGGGGCGGGGGGAGCCGGGGGGATGCTGCAGGTGCCGCGGCGCGCCCTCCCCACGCGTGTCCCGGCCCCACAGCCCACCCCAGCACACCCCAGCCGGGTGTCCTACCTTGCCGCTGTCGGTCGGGGGTCGGGCAGCCCGCAGGCTGTGCACATGGGAGCCGTGCCGAGCCGTGCCGAGCCGTGCCGAGCCGAGCAGTCCCGCCCCGGCCCGCCCCCCGCGCCGCACCCCTGGGTGCCCGGCGGAGCCAGGGCTGGGGCAGCTCCCCCGGGGGTGCTGGGGAAGCACCGGGCAGGGCAGGGCAGGGCAGGGGCACGGGGGGGCAGCCGGAGCCCCGCAGCATCCTCACAGCAGTGCCTGGGGTGCTCGGCTTCCCCACCGCTCCCTGTCGAAGCTCAGGGCTTCAGCCAGCCGAGGACCTGCTGTGTCTGAGGCTGCAGGGGACACGGCCAGGGCGGCTGGCCCAAATGGGCCGCGGGGATGTCCTGTGCCGTGGGGTGTCGTGGTTAACAAGGAAACTGGGGTAAAAGGAGGGGGGGGGGGGGCACGGGCTGGCGGTGTTTGTCTGCCCCAGGAGCTGTCAGGAGCCATCACAGAATCACAGAATTTCTAGGTTGGAAGAGACCTCAAGATCATCAGGTCCAACCTCTAACCTAACGCTAACAGTCCCCACTAAACCATATCCCTAAGCTCTACATCTAAACGTCTTTTGAAGACTTCCAGGGATGGTGACTCCACCACTTCCCTGGGCAGCCTGTTCCAATGTCTAACAACCCTTTTGGTAAAGAAGTTCTTCCTAACATCCAACCTAAACCTCCCCTGGCACAACTTTAGCCCATTCCCCCTCATCCTGTCACCAGGCACGTGGGAGAACAGGCCAACCCCCACCTTGCCTACAGCCTCCTTTAAGGTATCTGTAGAGAGCAATAAGGTCGCCCCGAGCCTCCTTTTCTCCAGGCTGAACAAGTCCAGCTCCCTCAGCCGCTCCTCGTAGGACTTGTTCTCCAGGTCCCTCCCCAGCTTCGTCGCCCTTCTCTGGACCCGCTCAAGCACCTCCATGTCCTTCTTGTAGCGAGGGGCCCAAAACTGAACACAGTACTCGAGGTGCGGCCTCACCAGAGCCGAGTACAGGGGGACAATCACCTCCCTAGCCCTGCTGGCCACACTGCTGCTTACAGAACCACCGGATTGTCTAGGCTGGAAGGGAACGGGCCGTGCTCTCCTGGGAGGGGCTGACACCTGCCTGCCAGGGGAAGCAGTGAACAGATTCCTCGCTTTGCTTTCCTTGCACGCACAGATTCTGCTTTACCTGTCGAGCTGTCTTTACCCAAACCCACGAGCTCTCATGCTTTTACCTCCTCTGATTCCTCAGAGCTAGTTTGGGTGCTGACAAAGGGAAGGGTTTTGCAGCCCCCTCCCCTTTGCAGCCTGTGCCTGCACAGCAGGGACTGTACAGCGGTGTCCTTGCTCTCCGTCTTCTGTCCTGGGACTTCTCAGCAGGCTGTCAGCAAGGGCCTGGCCACTGACAGAGGTGGCTGGTGGCAAAGAGCACCCTCGGACAGCACTTGTTGTCCTCTTGTAACGTCCTTGGACCTTACCACTATCTCAAAGCTTCCTACCACCTTGGCACCAGAAGGCACCAACACGGAGGTTTGTGTTACTAAATTAAAGCCTAACACCTGAGCAGATACTGACTCACCAGGGAACTTTTGGGGAGCTCAAGGTGAGCCTTCGCAGCTGGCAGGAAGCCGCTGGTGAATAACAAGGAGAAATGGGAACTTTGTCTCGCTGGCTGCGGTGGGACAGGGGACCCCTCACCCCAAAAGTGGCCGGCTGTACTGCTTCCCTCTCTGCAGAGCTCCTGGGGCTGGGCGGGCAGTGTACAGGGGTGGTTTCATGACTGAGCCTCGAAGCGTGGCCCACAGCCTGTGACTGAACTCCAGGAAAGGGCTGAAATTACCTCTGAGGGGATTAAGTTACGTCAGCTCCACCACTGTGGCCCCGCTGTGGGAAAGAGGTTTGTCTTCTGGCACCTGACACTTCCCCAGGCCAGGGTGAGCTGATGTTCTGCAAGGGAGGCCAGAGCAGTGGGAAATGGGAAGGGAAGGGAAGGGAAGGGAAGGGAAGGGAAGGGAAGGGAAGGGAAGGGAAGGGAAGGGAAGGGAAGGGAAGGGAAGGGAAGGGAAGGGAAGGGAAGGGAAGGGAAGGGAAGGGAAGGGAAGGGAAGGGAAGGGAAGGGAAGGGAAGGGAAGGGAAGGGAAGGGAAGGGAAGGGGGCACAGAGCCCAGCGCGCTGAGGGCAGCTCCTGCAGCAGGGCGTTGTTGCTCCCTCACGGGCAATGCCTTGTCCCTCTGCTCCGTCCTCCCCCTGAAAAGAAGCCCGAGCTTGGGATAAACATTAACCCAGCACAGAACAACCTCCTGGGCTTGCCTCTCTCCCGGGCAGCAGGCTGGGACACAGGAGTGGATTGAGTGGCTTTGCTCTGCACCAACACTTCTGCGGTCACGGGCTTCAGCTGCAGCACACGAAGGTAATGGTGGCTCAGGCCACAGATCCTTCCAGCCCAATGCCATCAGGGCCAGCGAGGGGGGGGAGAAGGGAAGCTTCCCAATGTCTACTCAGGGACTTTTTGGAGCCAGCAATGGATTTCTGTGCATTTGGCCACCCTCCCAACAGTTGGTACCCTCAAAAACATATAAATGTGGTGGCCCTAAGGTCCTGCAACGGATCTACAGATTAACTGCACGTTCTGGGACAATAAATAAATAAAAATCTGAACAGTTATTTTCGAGGCTGGAGCTGGTATCTCCTGTTTTAGGAGGCTTCATTTAAGAAGTAGTGATGTGTGTACAGCTAACTGTGGTGTGGAAAGAAACCCATTCTGTTCACAGGTGCCAGCACGGGCAGATGGAGTTACTGGGCTGTGCAAGCAGGTCAAACTCTTGTTTCCAGCCACAACAGTTGGCTGTGGCAGCACAAATTATACTCGGGCACGGTGCAGAAGTAACCTCTGCTCAGAACAGCACAGGATTTACTGGTGCTTACCTCTGGGCCCAGCTGGCATTTTGTGACCGGAGTGCGTAGGTTGAGGAGCCCCGAAGTCTGTGGAGCAGAAGGGAAGTGGCACAGGGCCTGTGAGGATAAGCCAGCTCTGGTGTGCAGGTCTGCAGAGGCTGTGCAGATATTCCTGCTTCCCCCAGAGCTCAGGCAGGAAACACCACAAACGCTTGGCTGGCAGTGTGACCCTCAGTGAATGCACACGTGGAGCAAGGCTGAGACAAAACAGAAGAGAAACTGCTAACAGCGCTGGGGCGTCCTTCCCTTCTGAGTTCAACTAAAAATCACTTCCAGTTTTTCCCATCAGGGACAAGCTCCGCTCGAACACATCGGTGCTTACATCTTCTTTAGAAAAGTTTAATTTATTTTTTATAGGTCATTATGTAACACAAATAGACCAGTGCGCATTCATACACCGCACAGACATGTCAGACTAGGGTTTGGTCTGACAATGCATGTTTTAAGTGCCTTTTTTAAAGAATGTAGGGACAGGATGGAAGGAAAAGAAAAAAATCAGCTGCTGCAAAAGGCTCTTGAAAAAAATACAGTTGTAAGTGTGGTCCTAATTTCCATGTCTTGATTTAAGAGAGAATGCCTCTCAAAACTCTGTAACAGCACCCTGTATGTGTGCACATGCATACACACATCAGTATGCATTAATTGGATTAGCAGTAAGACCTGTAAAGAAAAACCTTCTGAGCTTCTCTAGCTACACGGCATCCTTTTGAAAGCAGTGTTTCTGTTTGAGATACTGTGGAAGGACTCGAGTAACATTTTCTTCTCACCCCAAGCTCTCAGTGTGAGCAGATGTTGATGCCACACGGTGGATTTACCCCACTCCTGCCCCTCTAACCTGCTGCAGGGCTCCCAGCCTCCCCAGAGCCTCATCTCCACTTGGGTTACGTCCACGCGGTGCGATCGGCCTCTAGAGGTCTCCGCAAACTCAGGCTTTATCATTTTTGAGCCTGGCTGATTGGCCCAGCAGTGTCTGGGGTAGAGCTGAGGCAAGCAACCTGTCTCAGGTGAGCATGAGCAGAGGCCAGGGCTGTGAGTGCCTCCTTCCCCTTCCTCCTCCAGCACAGGTGTCTTGCAGCACAGGAGGGGTAAGTGGGGTGTAATTCGCTCAGGCAGGGCGTCTCCATGCACTTGACACATGGAGGCCAGCTGCTTGTTCAGGAAATATTAATGTTTTTTACTTTTGTGACCTTGTCCAAAAGGTTCCACCTGCAGAGCGCTGTACCCCATGGGGTCAGAGCACCACCAGCACTGGAAATTCGGGCACAGCAAAGAGAAAAGAGGGATCCCCTTCAAAACCTTGCAGCGTTCAAGTCAGAAGGAACATAATCATGTGGATTATGAACACAGAGACAGGGACATCAGTGCAGGGGTCCAGCCAAAGGCCACCAGAAACCACGGATGGCTCTGCTCAGATCCCAACAGAGAGGAGAAGCGCCTCCCAGAATTTCCCAGTCGGGCAGAGGACACACCTTGTGCTCCCGTGGGCTCCCGCAGGAACTGAAATGAACTGGAGAGGCGGCTCCACCCTCCCACACCTCATTTCACTTGTCCCAGTCTGAGCCCCACGGGAAGACGTCCTCCAGCTCCCAGGCCTTCCTCAGCCCCAGCAGTCACCCGGGGAGTGTGGCGTGACCCAGTGGCTGCAACGTTAAAGGCATGCTCTCCTGGCAGGATAGACTCTGATGTGTTCAAAGAGCAGGTCCCCTCCTCACCAACTAAGCAGCTTTGGGTACCAGTGAGGGACTGTTCTCAGATTATGTGTTTTTTTTTTGTTTGTTTGTTTGTTTGTTTTGTTTTGTTTTGTTTGTTTTTTTTTTTGTTTGTTTGTTTGTTTGTTTGTTTTTTCTGGTGATTTTACGTGTACAGAAAGATCTCTTTCAAGCCTCCATCAGAAAAGGTGGAAAAGCCCTGCCTGGCTGGGTCACTTGCACCATGCCAGCGCCCGTCAGGGTGCTGGTACTGCTGGTACCTCCTGCAGATCTCCAGCTGCAGTCCAGCATTGCACGGCACAGGGCGGGCAGGAGGGGGAGAAGTACAGGAGAGGATGAAGCTCCTCTACCACTTCCATCATCACAAAGCCTGGGTCAATCCCCAAATGGTCCTGTACCTATAGCCTTGCTTCCTGGGGCAGACGAACTCCTGCTGTGATCACCTGTGCTGCCTCCATCTCTTACCGACAGCTGCTTTCGGAGACAAACTCTGTTTCTGCTAAATCTCTTCTTCCTCTTCGCTGACAGCGTCCTGCAGGTCCTGAGGCCCCTGCTCTGCTCTCTCTTTGACGTAGGCTGCCTTGATCTGTTCCAGCTCACACAGCTCTGTCTCCAGCTCTTCCCGGTGCATTGTCCGCCGGTTCCTCAGCAGCTTCATGGGGAAGGGGTTTAACTCATTGAAGGCAATGTTCATCAGCTTCCTGCAATGAAGAGAGGCCTGGTGACCACAGTTACTGCCTGAGATGTTAACAGATACCCAAGAGTTTTAAGAGAGGGAGGCTTTTCCAGACCATCTACCTCTGCCGCAGATTGCACTTGGCTGCCCCAGGAGGCTGCAGAGAGCACAGCCTCGTATTTCAGCTCTGGGGTCAACAGCCACTGAGCCGCAGAACCACGACTGAATCACAGGCGCTGCTTCTAGCACAGCACCAGCCCAGGAGTAACTTTTTGGGTACCAGCATGCAGCAGTCAGCAAGGAGCTGGGCTATCAGAAGCCATCTCTGATGGCCTCTGGAGTAGGAACAGGCTGCTCTGTTCAGCTCGTCTGATTAAATAAATGTTCCTCTCGTGCACGCGTTGTCACCACAGGTTGTGAGCAGCTCTCTGCTCCCAAAAACCCCGACTGCTACACCTGAGAGAAACCCAGCAGGGAACAGAGAAAGTTCCTGCTGCTGGAAAAAGAAGGCCGGCCCAGACTTTGTGGCCTGGTCTGCAGCAGCATGCCTTCACCCTAGCCCAACAGGCTTTAAGTAACAGCATGCAGAAAAAGTCAGAAAGAAGGCACGTTGTCAATGTCCTGGTGACCTGCCAGTGCATGCATCTCTCTTAACAGACTGGTCACAACTCCTTTCAGGCTGACCTAAGAGGCAAGCAAGCACAGGCCCAGAGTAAGAGGCTGACTATACCCCACAGTCCTACCTGCCATCCACGATCATCCTTGTGAAAAAACGCAGGTACTGGTAAATCTCCACATTGTCATGAATCCTCAGGATTTCCTCCTCGTTGTATTTAAAGATTGCGAGAGCATAGCGGAAAATCACCTGGAAGGTTGAAAAGCATTTCAGTTGACAAAGTCTTAGGCAGCTGAGGGATCAGCTTATAACATGGCTTAAAACACGGGGTGAGGAAGACACCACTGCCGTTCATGCTGGTTGCTGGGCTCCTGCTGTACTCTACAGGCTGCTTTAGGGTGGGCCTAAAAAAAAGCAGAGCTGATCTCACAGGAATGACCCTCTGTTTGCTAATTTACAACTCCAGAGCACACCTGATCCTCCAAAAGGACCCCACAAGGATCTCACAAGGGTTCTCCCATTCTCCCTACGCACTGGTGCAACACAAGACTCACATTTTTTCACAAGTGCTAAATCTCTGCCCGTCTTCTGCTCCCTGTATCTGTCCCCTCTCAGCTAGGTCTGGGTTGCAGAGTAGAAGACACCGTGGCCTGTCAGAAAACTGTTTCTAGCATGACTACATGCTAAAAAACATGAGGGGCACTACACACATGGTATCAGGGACTAGGACTGCCTGCAGGCAGCAACTACACAGATGGATGGCAGGGAGGCACCAAGGCACTCCACCAAACAGTCAAGGTAGGACAAGAGGCTCAACCCCCCATCTCTCTGACACATGTGGACATCCTTCGCTCTGCTGTCACATCACAGAAGTAGTGCAGAAGGAAGGGAGGCCTAGATTCAGGGTTTTACCTTAGTTCCTTCATACAAGAAGGCATCCCACACTCGCAGGAGGATGTCGCTGACCAGGCTGTCCACAAAGGCCACCAGAAACCAGTTGAAGGTGATGAGGGAGACATCAATCTGATGCTGCTCGAAATGAGCCGTAAGGCGAGGCAGCTTCTCTGCCAGGAAGTCTTTGAAGACTCTCTGATCTACCTGAAGTTGACAAAAAAGAAAACAATGAATTATCTGTTAAAATCAGTCCTGGTGCTGAAGGAGAGGAACAACGCAGCAGGACAATGAGCCAATTGCATGAGCCAAGACACAGAAATGCAGTCAGCGAGGTCCTTGACTCAAGTTTATAAAGGCTTCATCTCAAGGAAGTTATGGTTTCGTGAGCAGAAGTGCTACAGAGCAAGAACAGGGTTAGGTCTTTCCCTGTACCACATCATACCACTGCCCCAGCTCTGTCAGCCCAGTTACCTTTGAGCCCGTAGTACAAACCAGACAAGGTAATATGCTTTGGTCTTTAAAACCCACAAGAACTAAATTTTCATTTTCTCAACCAGTTTTCACTTTATCAAGCCAACCCACAAAGCATCACCCTAGACCCTCCTCTTCACTTTCTTCTTGGATAGACTTACAGAGGCCAAACATGAGCCCCGGAAGTCTTACCAAAAAAAAGGCTCATTCAGCTGACGGTCTTTTATCACCAAATGTAGAGGAGCTTCTGTGTCCTCCACCCTGCTGTTGTTTTCCCTGGCAATCACTGTGCTGAGTGTCAAGTGCTGTCTATTAAAATCTCACTGCTAACCCTACCTGCTCCAGATCACTGCAGCACAGACATCTTGCTGTCTGCACAATGATTTGGCTGCTTCCCAAGTCTCTGTGGGCTGGCCTCTTCACCGGCACACCAATGTACCAGTAAACACCATCAATTCAGTAGCAGAATCACTCACTCTCCACTACTGATGCTTGCAGCCTCCTCCACTGCGAGCCCACAGCAGAAACCCTTTTCTCTGTGAAAGGACCACACACAGTAACGAGACCAAGGTGATGGCCAGGCGCGCCAGGCTGGGCACTGCTGGGTGTGGGTGGTAGGGTCACACAATTACACTTCCACGGAGCTAAATGGAATTTATCCTGGCTCTGCGCACATCTGGGAGGACACTGTACATCTGATACAAGACAACACGCCTTGAAAACCTTGAAATCCAGGAACTTTGAACCAGGAGGATGAGTTACTTATAAAACTTTTTATATCAAATGGCCACAGAGCTTTTGATATGCAGGAAAAAAAGAAAAAACAAAAAACAAAAAACTGACATGCAGCCCCAAAGCCAGAATTAACACTGCATTTGATCATGAACTGAAGCAGAGTGAATATAAAAATAACAGTATATAAAAATACCAGAAGCACAGGGCACTCCAAAAGATAGGGTGAGGTTTCTAAAGAAAAATGCGATGGGCTCCAGAATGGCATTTTCTTCATGTTTGGTTCTACATCTGTCAGAATTTGCCACTTCACTTTTTCGCTTTTACTGGGCCCTCCTTACAATAAATTCTTCCTTCTGACTAACCTGGCCTCCAGGTTGTTATTCAGGAGTGCTACTCAGTTTCTTAACCACTCTGTATCTCTGTAATGGAAGGTGATGTCAGCTGTCCTGTGAGAAATCAAACACATTGCAAGCTCACAGCATCATAGACTTATGAAAGGGTTTGGGTTGGAAGGGGCCTTAAAGACCATCCAGTTCCAGCTGTGAGAAACAAAGTTGTGTTTTTGCACTAGGAGGTGTTTTTGCAGTGGAAAATTCCCCTAACCTTGCACATTCAAAAGTGCTTGTGTGGCACAGCAGTGTGAAGTATGTTAAGCAGATAAGGGGAAGGTCCCACTGTCCCAAAATAAGGAGGATAGCTAAGAAAAACAGGATGAGCAGTACAAAAATCAGTAAAAACAAAAATCACGGGCTCTCTAGTCAGGAGAGAAGAAAGGGAAAAAAAAAAAAAAAAGGAAAAAAATTAATGGTTGGTCAAATTAAATTGTACATATGTGGTGTAGAAGTGTGTCGAGTAGGCTGTGAACCTGCAGTACTCTGACAAAGAGGAAACAGAGGAGAAATCAGGTGTCTGGTAATAGGGAACATAAAGTTATGGTAAACTTTTACTCTGTGCTCCTGCTTGCAGGACACCCGCCATTGCAATTGCAAATAAAATAGCTTCACAGAAGATCCTGTCTGAAGAAAATTGTTGAGATTTTTCTTACACAGCCTCTGGCCACGGGCAGGGACCCCTCCTGCTAGTCCAGGTTGTCCAAGGCCCCAGCCAGCCAGGGATGGCTCATCCACAGCTTCTCTGGGCAGACTGTGCCAGGGCCTCACCACCCTCACAGTGAAGAATTTCTTCTGAATATCTAATCTATATCTCCCCTCTTTTGGTTTAAAGCCATTACTTCTTGTCCTGTCACTGCAGGCTCTGGGTATCAAGCTGGGAGGAGCAGCACGGACTGAGGCTCCCCTCCTCTTCAGACTGCTCCTGGCTGCATCGCTGGTGCCCAGGTGAAACAAGTTGGTTGATGGCCTTTAAACCTCTAGTGTAAATCATGGCAGAAGTGAGAGCACCCAGCTCACCTGTGATGTTATCAGTGTGTCGCTGTAGTAGTCTGCTGGCATCAGGTTCTCCACAATGTGAACGAGGCACCAGAAAGCACTTTCCTCATCTTCCAGGACCAGCAGGGCAACAGCTGCCAACCTGTGATGGACAGGACATGGTGAGGCAGTGCAGCACTGCAGGACGAGACACAGGTCGGCACAGGTAGAGGGGAATCCAAGAATCCTCTTGGCTTGTCTCTAGCTCCGTGAGAATCCAAAACATCAGATGTAGGAGGAGAGTTGGTCAGACAGTGATCTGTTCTGCGGGTTTCTGAGGAAGCCAAGGGTTAGTGACTTTCTTTCCTGTGTGCCTCTGTCAGCAAACATGCAGCAAATACAGGGCTGCTGTGACAAAATGAGAATCCCCAGCTAAGAGGATGTTCTGCAGACCCTCAGAGTTGGCAAGGTGTGCTGATCATGGCTATGTCAGTGTGGGAAACGGCTCACGCAGAGATATTCCATGACATGGCTCACCCCTCCCCTCCTATCCATCCTCCCTAACCCCCTTTAGCTCTGACTTTTAGCCAGACTGACTTTAGCTCCAGTTTTAGCCAGATGGGAAACGTTCAAGGCCAGGCTGGATGAGGTTCTGAGTAAACTGCTCTTCTGGAACATGTCCCTGCCCATGGAAGGGGGGCTGGACTAGATGATCTTAAGGGTCCCTTCTAACCTAAATCATTTTATAGTTCTGTGACAGCTAATATCAGGGGACCTCTAGAGTGGCAAGTGTCATTCTGAAAACCACCCAAAGAGCAACAGGAATAGCTTAAACAGACTTTCCTCATGTGTGAAGATCCAGCCAGGAATTCCTTTCCTGCAGCTATTGTCTGATATCCTTCTTCCTCAGCCACACACTTTTAAGAACTCTATTTTTATCTTTTCGGTAGCCAGAATTTGTTAAGTAAAAGTGGAAGATCCCCTGAGCCTTCCCTTCACCAGACAGAACAAGCCCAATTTTCTCAGCTCCTCCTCAGGTGTCATGTGCCCCAACCCTCTCATTCCTAATGCTTCCCATTTCCTTCAACTCTTCTCAGAAAAAGGGAACACCAGGGTGCTCTGCTGAGTACATTACGAGTCAGAAATTCAGTCCTACCCTCCAGCTGTTATTTTGGGACTGCCTCACTCCGTCTCCCAAAGCTGTTCCTTCCTATTCTGGAGCTATGGAGGAGCCAAACAAGTGCATCCTGCTGTGTGCTATATCCCAGCAACAACACTGGCTGGAAAATGACACCAGATGCAGAACTCTGCAGGAAAATACCTCGAGCCAGTACGGATCTAGAGAGAGAGAGATGAGTCTGGGACTGCATAAATCAGAGCTTAGACCAGGTGTCTACACCTTCTCAGTGCTCTCCCACGAAGAAGCAGCACACCTTGTTCCTCACCTGTTCAATCCCTGGCAGTACCCAATGGCAGGATTGTGCCAGGAGAATGCCAGCAGCACCCTCCGGAGCTTGGGGATGAGCTGGGAGGTGGGAGAGGAGAAATATTTGTTGTTGGTCAGTGTCCGGGGCAGGTCAAGCTCAATCTGCCTGCAGGCAGGGTGCTCGGTGCTCTTGCTCTGCCTCAGCAGCCGCTGGTAGTGGTCTGGCAGGCGGCTGCAGTGCCGGCTGACAATCCACCTCCAGACCCGCTGCCGATGCTCCACAGGAATGCCGCTTCGAATGAGGCCCTTCAGCTCTGCAGAGGGGCTCAGCTCCCCTACGCCGTTCCACCTGTCACGGAGGGGCTTCTCCACCACCTCCTGGCTCCGCAGGTTGTTGGACTTGATCTCCAGGGCTTGGATTTTGGCCAGAAGTTTCCAGTCCTCGACTTCGTAGTCAGGCACAGTCATAAACCCATACTCATCGTACTCGCTGGAAAGGCACAGGGCTGAGGTTAGTTCAAAGGCCAGTTCCCTGCCAGGTTCCTGTCACCCACGCCAGAGCTCAAGCATCCTCCCTTGCTTCTCTGGCAGCTAGGTGGAAGAGCCTGCTGCCTCAGGGCCATGAAGGCAGAGCAACAGCGCAGATGTATGAACTCAGGTGTAGCTTTGCTCTGAGCTACAGCCTGACCCCACCAGACCTCTCTCACCCTGTCTGATCTCCTACCCACCTTGCTTAACCTGTGTACCTTCTCCTTACCACATGCTAGTGCAGAGGGAGTTCTCCAGGAAGAGACTGCAAAGGCCTCAGGGCATCAGAACAAAGAGCAGAGATCCACAGCCCTTTCAGATGTCTCCCTGTGCACCATGCAAATCTCCTACTAACCAGAAAACCCCAAGAGTGATGATAGTAAGGCTTGCTGAGGGTTTGTGCATCATCCCTGGCAAGTGATGACAGTACGTGAGAGAACAACACAAAACCATGCCAGGGGAGGTTCAAACTGGCCATGAGGAAACATTTGTAGAGCTTAGGGATATGGTTTAGTGGGGACTGTTAGCGTTAGGTTAGAGGTTGGACTCTATGATCTTGAGGTCTCTTCCAACCTAGAAATTCTGTGATTCTGTGATTCTGTGATTTCTGTACTGGGAGGGCAGTTAAACAGTGGGAACAGGCTTCCTAGTGAGGTGGCTGGTGCCCCATGCCTCTCAGTGATCAAAAGTTATTTGGACAATGCCCTCAAAAACATGCCTTAACTTTTGCTTGGCCCTGAAGAGGTCAGACAGTTGGACGTGGTGGTCTTTGAAGGTCCCTTCCGACTGAATTATTCTGTTCTGTTGTGTTCTAGTCAGGCCACATGCTGGGATACTTGCAAGGTATCATTATATTGATCAGATATCCACTATTTCCACATCACCTCACCAAATGAGCTTCCTCTACCTCTCCTCACAGGTCATGGCTCCAAGTCCATGCTGTAGAGCTGCCCCCAGATCCTTCTTGCCCGCGCATTCCCCTCCAGTGCTGGACGCTTGTGAGGGTGGAAACGCCCCCGTGCTCTTGCCTATTACCTCACAGGGTTCAGGTTCAGACCTTCTTCTGCTCCCTCCTTCACATCCCACTGGAGCGCTTCCTGGATGAGGTTCCTCACCAGCTCAGCATCGGAGCTGGGCAGGCCAGGCACGGTCTCCTGCAGCTTCCGCAAGACTGTCAGGTATTTGCTCTCCATCTGGCAGTTTCGGGCTTGCAGGCAGGCACACTGATGGGAAAAGAAGAGGGAATGAGCTGGCTCACTGATGTTCTTCCTGTACTGCCTCCGCTCTCTGCTGGTCTTGTCCACACATCAAGCAAAGACTCCTGAACAGCAAGGCCCCTGAGAACACATCCAGAAGTTTTCACAGAAATTGCAGGTATGAATGGACCGCTGTGGTCAATGAACAAGCACAAGCCACATTAGCGAGCACACATCAGCAGTTGCTTTTTGAGGCTTTTCGAGTGGGAGACCCAATACAGCACCACCTACTTACCTCATGAATTGCACCAGTGGGTGGCCATATCCCAGGCAGCTCAGCTCAGAGACACCACTGCAGCTGAGCTCTCCGCAGGCTTTTCCCCTCCTTCTTAGACAAGTTCTCTACCCCACACTGAGGTGTACCATGACAAAATACACCACTCAAGGGACTGAGCTGGGACCATGCGATTTGCAGGACACAGACAAGGTGAACACATGCCCCACAGCAACCCCAGTCCCATCACACTGATGCAGGTTTCTCAAGCTCAACTGAGTTCAAACAGAGCAAGACAGTCCCTGCTGCCATCATACTCCAGGGCACAGAGAGACAGAGAGAGAGAGAAAGAGGTAGAAATGAGGATTGTTATCCGTTGTTACTGTTATTGTGATTGTTAACTCACAACTGAGAAACTAAGGCCACAAAGGTGACAAGACTCACCCAATTACTGTTTCACAGGAACCACAGTGAAGATTCCTGCTCAGTGGGAAGCAGCGGTTGAAAACAAAACAACAAGAAAAAAATCATAGAAAGAATTAGGCTGCATATAGAGGGGAAATAAATGAGTGTAGGATACCATCATGCTACCACTTTAACCAGCCTTTTGCCTCAAATCGAACACATCAGTCTGATTACTTTCCTTCTGAAGGTTACAGCAGGTGCAGGATCAGAGGAAGGCAGTAAACTGAGGTAGACAGGATTTCAAAAGACTAGGAAGCAAACAGATACAAGCATGACAATAACACCCCAAAGGCAGCTGTTTGCCCTGTACTAGAATCCAAGACTGTGGAGACATCCCTTGAAACCCAGGAAGGAAAACCCAAGGAACAAACGCCAGACTCAGAAATTGGTTCAGAACCAGCAGGTAGGTTTGTCTGAGAGTAACCAGGTTATGCAATAAAGCTCAAGCTTAAGATGAACTCTGAACTAGCTGCAGGATCTGAGAGTCCTGACACCTGACAGTGCCAGGCCTCCTAGAGAAATCAAAACTAGATGGAGGCAGCGTGCAGTCAGCCTGCCAGCTCTCAGGAAACTTTCCTCATTCCCTGATGTCCTGGTTTCAGTTAGAACAGAGTTGATTTTCTTCCTAGTAGCTGGTGGAATGCTGTGTTTTGGCTTGGGATGAGAAGAGTGCTGATAACACCCTGATGTTTTAATTGTTGCAGAGCAGTGCTTATACCAAGCCAAGGACATCTCAGCCTTTTGCTCTGTCCTGCCAACAGGCAGGCTGGGGGTGCAGTAAGAGCTGGGAGGGGACAGACCCAGGACAGGTGACCCAAACTAGCCAAAGGGGTATTCCATACCATCTGACGTCATGCTAAACAATATATAGGGGTGGCTAGCCGGGGGAGGGGGCCGGACTGCTCGGGGTTAGGCTGGGCATCAGTCAGCGGGTGGTGAGCAATTGCATTGTGCATCACTTGTTTGTACATATTAATAGTATTATTAGTAGTAGTACTATTATCATCATTGTATTATTATTATTATTATTATTATTATTATTATTATTATTATTATTATTATTATTATTATTATTATTATTATCCTGTCTTATTAAACTGTCTTTATCTCAACTCCCAGGCTTCACTTTCCATTTCTCTCCCCCATCCCAGAGAGGGAGGGGGAGGGGGAGCGAACGGCTGTGTGGTGTTTAGCTGCCGGCCGGTTAAACCACGACACCTGAGCATACTGTAATTTCTTTATTCGCTTCCAAAAGCATAGCTGAAATGCAGGAATCTGGGTTACGTTTCAGCATACCTAAGACTGAGTTTTGCAAGTATTTTACTTTGACTGAAAAAAAAAATAATTATAATATCTAATTTGGGAACAACACAAAGCAGAGAAAACATTATGCTAAAAAAAAAAAAAAGCATGTTAGGAAGAAAGCTGCTTCTTGGTGTGTTTTGTATCAATATCCATTCCAGTGTCCGTTCTGGAAAGAAATAAGAAAAAGCTCTCCCCAAGAAAAAAGTTATTTTGCCTCACCTTCATCAGAAGGGCTTTTTCATTCTCAGCAGCGCTTGTCCACAGCCGGGTAACCTGGTGGATCTCCGAGTTGAGAAACTGGTTCTGGGTTTTGTATGCATCAATATCGTCCTGCCACAAAGCAAAACAGTCACAAAGGGACAGCTCTTGAGTGTCCCAAGAGGGAACTGAGGTGTGGAGTGTGTTAGGGACACAAAAATATCTCAAAAATACCATGTTCTGGGAAGAAGACAGGACTTCCCAGGACAAATACTAGCTATGGAGGAAATCAAGGCCCAACATTAAATAGAAATGTCATACATAGAGAAGACACCTGGAAAATCCCAAGTGCACTGTACGTATGTGCCTAGAAAACACAGATACAGCTGGGTGATATAAAGCTAGAGAAACACCTAAATGAGATGAAGAATATAGATGTTTTGTACTCTTTAAAAATATAAATAAATAAATAAATAAATAAATAAATAAATAAATAAATAAATAAAAAGGATAAAGATCTTAGCCCCATGGGTGGCAGCAAAACACTCCCACAACCAAGTAAGTGGCTCTTCTAGAAATCCTCCACCATATGCTAGCAGTTCATTACAACAGTGCAAATGGTGACAATACAACAGGCTGGATTTGAAAGAACCAGGATGTGTCAGGAAAACGTTGGCAAGAGGGAAACGCACATCAACAGAGCCAGTGATCACAGCTAGTGAGACTGCAGCAAGGGGAACAGAAGAGTGAACAAAGAGGTGGGCACTCAATGGGGACATGAAGTCAAAGAAAGCAGACAGAGGGCTGAAGCTGAAACTAACCTGGATGCTTTTAAGAACCCTATTAGAACCAGATGAGCCCACCCTGCCTCTGATGTGGAGACAGACAGAACACCTAGAGAAACACGTTCTCTGGTTTCCACGAGGAACAGCCTCCTGCTGAACCAGAGGGTAGAGAAATGGGAGCTCCCAAATGACTTGTATCATCTCCACACACCTTCAGATGCTCAATCTCCTCCTGCTGCTTATACAACGTCTCGGCCGTGATTGTGTTGGCTTCCTGCAGGGGATCAGAGAGCTCTCGGGCCATCTGCTCTGTCAAGGCCATGATGACTTCTTGTTTGGCGTGGTTCTTCTCCATCAGATGCTGCACGTGTTCTTTGAGCTCTTGAATGTGGCTGTCTCTCAGCGCAAGCATCTGCTCGAGCTCTTTCTTCTCCTTCTCAAGAGCTTCCAGCCGACTGGTGAGGTCAGCAATCTGTCGCACTTTGTGGCGCACCAGCTCCAGCCTGTCCTTATCTTCTGCTGCAGTGAGATACATGCTAGATACTCGCTTCTCCTGCTGGGCCGCCTCCAGGGCTTTGTGGAGAAGTTTAACCAGCTCCTGGAAAAGGAGTGCAAAGCCATCGCATCACAGTGCTGCCCAGGGTACCGGCAGCACGGACACTACAGACCCCAGCAGAAATGAGTGAACAGCAAAAGATTCTCAGGATCTCAGAGCTGCCTCCTTTCAGAAGCAAAAGTGAATGCAGCAACCTTGGCATCACAGCATCCCCCTAGCAGAGGAGCTCTGCTCTCAGAGCTAGGCCTGAAACGTCTTTGCAGCAGACCGCAGGCAACTTGACTTTAGGTGCATTGCTAGTAAGGGACCTGCTGCTCCAGCTTTCAGCAACTCACCCTTCCTGGGAGGCCCAGCAGAAACCAGAGTAGCTGGAGGTCTGCTCAGCAGTGTGGTAAAATGGAAGCAAGGGAAATAATGCAAATTATTTAAAAAAAAGGGAAATAATGCAAATTATTTAAAAAAAATCTCTCTCTGCTACCAGATGGAAATTAATGTACACATTTCAGCTTGCCCTCTACCAGAGTCCTCCCTCGCTCCATCCCACACCAAGGCACAAAAGCTTGCCCCAGCACCGTGCTGCTGATTCAGGCTCTGCTGTCTCAGACATTTAAGGAGGCAAATCAAGGGTGTTACTTGATTGCCCCCTATGGGACCTGGCTCTCCTGGCTCTTCTGCTGGAAGAGCTACCAGCATCATTAGTGGGGAGCCCAGCATTGCTCCATGCATGTGGAGAAGAGAATCACTCAGGAGAGACAGCCCTTGCAGTGCCTCAGGTACTGGGCTTCTCCAGTCAAGTCACTTCTTAATTGTGGATCATCGTTCAAGAAAGTGTTACCTGTAAAAAGCACAACTCAGCCCTGCAGTTCCTGCCAGCATCGTGGTACCTTACCCAGGACTGTGATTCATGTACAGACACGCCAGCATGACTGATATCTGCAGAACACACCTGGATTTGTTCAACCTCCCTTTTCCAGCCTCTCTGCTAGATGTGCTTCCTAGCAGTAGCTGCAGGACATCCCTTTTCCCCTTGTGCTGGGCACAGTCAGGCTACATAGAAAGGGGTAACACCAGGAAATTGAGCTGAGTGCCTGCTGAGCACTCCTCAGCCTAACACCAAGGCCAAGGGAGTCCCTGTGGCCAGTTTCAGGGTCCTGCCCTAAAAAAGTAGCAGACTCTTCATCACACTCACCTTCTGTGACTTGACTTCCTCCGTGAGCGTCAGGATCTGTTGCTGCAGCACACTCACTTTATCCATTGAGCTCCTCTCCCTGGACAGCTCCTCAGCCAAGCCTAGGAAGCCACTGTTCATCCACTTGGCTTTCCGGACCCAGTTCATCCGAGACTCCAGCCTCCCATCCTCCGGGATCTCCTCCTTAACTGAAGGGAAACAGAATTCACTTACACAGAACGGCGTTGCTGCTATGAACTCTGGTGTCTTGCTACTGGGGGACACACCGCAGCTCCGCCCAGAGGACTGACACACAGGACAGAAAAAATCGACCTGCTGGGATCCACAGGGTTGAAGCACAGACAGTAGGGATCAACCACAGCTACATCCAAAACAAAGCCACGGTGCTTTATGGTACTTGCCAGCTCTCCTTGCACCCCACCCCCCCTGCAGACAGCAAATGCAAGTTAGCATCTGTGGAGAGCACAGTCTAAACTCCACAGCTCCACCACATGTTTGGGAAGAAAAGGGTTGAAAGGAATGTGATTGTGCAGCGGTTTGACTTCCAACTCAAAGAAATACTAGTACGGACTGGCATCACGGGTGGTATTTTTGCCTCTGCAGAAGATTCCAGAAGTAGGAGATAGGCAGATTCAGCCTGAAGCAGAGCAGAAAGTGTCATTCTTGTGCTAGAAACAATGGAAGGACCCTGAGACAATGTGATGAGTTCTCATGTCCCGGGACTATTTGCCACTCTGTCCTTCCCTCTCCTGCCAAGTCTGACCCTCTGGTAAATGGTGTCGTACTCGCACCAGCTCACACAGTTCAGTAACAGGCACCTGCACACCCTGCCTCCACTTCGGCCTCTTGCTCCTCATCCAGGCTCTCAGGGTTCTCCTGGAATTCACTGAAGTTGAAGATATTCCCATTGTTCCCCCGGAGCTGCTTGGAGACACAGATATTGTAGACAGTGTTTCTGAAACAAGAAGAGATCAAAACAGCCTTGTGAATAGAAGTCACGAACACTGCAGCCAGTGCATATGCAAACTGCCAAGTGCCTCACCCCTCCTCGTATCTCAGACTTACTCACATCCCACCCCTCCTCCAAGAACGTGTCTCCACCATATGCTAAAGAAAATGAACTTTTGATGGCACCAGTGGATCTAAGGGGAAGAGGGGTGAAAGTGGTGGATATTAGCAAGGTGCCCCAATATCGGTACCAGCACAGCGGTGTGAATCAGGTGGGGATCTTCCCCGTGTCCTTGAGCCCTGTACGTAAAGGCATCAGGCTGGAGGGAAGGATCAAAGCCAACTGTAGAGCAAGCATACTCAATCCCTCTGACCTCCTACCCTTTCCTTCGCTCACTGCAGAAACCCCCAGGTGCCAACAGAAGCTCAATTCACTATACCTTTGATACAGTAAAGTTTCAGGAACGAAATTGCAATCAGACCCAGAACCAGTCCATCACAGACTGTTACAGCTGCTGCTTTCAGATTTTGCCAGGAGAGCTAGGAGATGACTCTACAGGACGAGGCAGAACCAGCAACATGCTAGTGTTTTCTGCAAAACCTATACAAGAGCATGAGGCACTTGCCTATCTCTATCTCACACTACCCTGTGCTTTTCCCATGAAACAGGAGCAATTTCGGGATCCGACAAGCTCGGCTGAAATCACACACACTACACTCATGAAGATCCAGGTCCAACAGCGACAGAGCCTGCAGAAACATTCACAGATCTAAGGGAGTAATATAATTTGAAGCTGAAAAGAAGCAACTGTTATTCAAGCTAGCAAAGGTAAGGCTGGTGATGGGTTATGATTACAGTACTTTTAATTAGAGTGGGGAGGAACGAACGTATAGCCTGCAAAAAGCACAGCTGAGACTAGTACTCTTTGGTCTCATGGAAGGTCTTTCCTCCTAACAGCATCAGATGGTAGCCAGAGTAGTGGTGGTACAAAACTACAGCCAACCTCCCCAGCAGAAACATTTGGCAAGCGCCAGGCTACCTGCTGCACCTGCAACCACTCACATGCTTTTGGTTATCTGTAAGTGACCAGGACACTACAGTTAAGGAGAGGTTGGTGGGGGTTGGTTTGGAGCAACAGCAGCTGCCCAAGGCTTGTAATTTGTAGCCCTGATGGAGCCACACCTCACAGTGGCAACCACAGTGTCAGTGAAGGTGGTGTGACTACTCACATTCTTGAAACTCAGCCAGGGGCAGCAAGCCGCGCAGCCTGAGGGCCATTTTACAGGCTCAAATGCCTTGTGCTTGGAGTTCCTGCTTTGCAGAGTATCCACGGTCCTTTGAAACCACCAGAACAGTCTCCTGTCGCTAGCCTACAGAGTACAGCTCAACCTGCTCACACACCTTTCCAGGAGTGATGCTCGGCTGCGCCACAGCAGGCGTGCTAACAACCAGCTGCAGAGGAAAGCTAAGCCAAGCTCTAGGAAAAACCTAGTGACCAGCCAGGACAGCTGGATGATGTGGAATGCACTGGAACAGAGGGATGTGAAGGAGCTTCCAGCAGGAAGTTTGTTTCTGCAGGGAATATCCTCCATAAAGCTGCTTCATGGTTTGCCTAGGGTCCCGTTTCACACAATACCCAACAGGTGAGGAAGGAAAAAAGTAGCTTGCACTGCAGCTCCCCTCGTGCACTTACTGTATCTCTGTCCAAGGGTGCTTCAGGGAGATGTTCTGCAAAGCAGTAGATGTCTGGGGTGCAGGCAGAGAGGCTGCCTTTAAACCCACCACTTCTGTTGGCGTTTTGACTGGAGGCATAAAGGCCTCACTGTCGACAACATCTACGTAAAAACAAACCAGAAGACAAGAGGCAAGTGAGCAAGACAGACCTGCATTGGTCTTTGGCTCCTTCGTGTCACTTAAGAGCCACAGTTTCTTACAGCTAGACCTTCTGTGCACAACCTGCCAGGCAGAACAAAGGCAGCAGAGCAGGCTTCCTCTATTTAAGATCAAATTACAGAAGGTTCAGTACATTATCTGCTCAGGGACTACCAAGTGCCTTCAGCCATTAGTACCTGAGAATGACTAACTCTAAGCAATCAACCTTTAACCTCCTGAAGGAAGGAGGAACAGAGCTGTTGCTGTTCTTTCCTCCCAGCACAGCGTTTGATAGTTTTAATGTGCAGGTAGCATCGATCCAAGCAGTGATAGCTAGCAGCTGCTGTTTGAAAACCCGGCCAGTGCCTCTGTCTGCTTAGAGGTGAGGAGGACCATTCATCGCTGGAGAGCTGAAAGCAGAGGAAGGGCTGACACACGCAACACCTACTTGTTCTGTCAGCCAGGGGTTCATTCACAAGCTGGGAGCTGCCCACAGGAAATCTGCTCGGAGCATTGCAAAATTCCCAACGTCTCACTTGTAGCTGCTGCAGCCAGTACATCATGGCCTGCTTGCTGATTGCCTAAGAGAACACAGAACAGGAAGGAAGAGGGCAATCTCATCAGCATAAGATCATCAGCACCCCGTAGGGATGACCACCACGGCTCTCACCATGCCTGCAGAAATCAAGGCCAGCTGTGTCATGCCTATGCTACAGCCTCTGGTTTGGAAGGACTGAATAAACCCGCAGCATGGCCTTAGCAGCAGAACCTCAGAGGACAGCTGACCTTATTTTAAGCCCTTTTTGTTTACTGTGTTCCAAAGCTAAGCAGAAATGCTCCAGTTCTTTTAACTGGGGATCGCCCATGGAGTTCTCTCAATAGAGATTTTCACAGAGGTAAGAATCTAACAAAGTTCTTTGCTGGAGGAGCCACTTTATACAGGGGAGCTCATTTCTGTTCAGTAAGTTACCAAGCGGACTGCAGGGCTCTCTAGTAACTTTAATTCAGCACCCAATTTGACTTCTACTCCTATTCTTTTAAAGAAAAGTCATCTCACAGGCAGTGGAATCCCAGCCTCGCAAAAACAGTGCAAACAATTTAGGTCCAAAAGGCAACAGCGCAGGCTGAGGACTAAAGTGAAACTCACGCTGAGGTATGTTAGCAGAGATGTGTCTGTCCCAACAGGGAACATTCTGCACCTGCCCCCAGAAGAAGATGCTGACCCTTACCTTCAACGTAAAAACTCTGCTTGGTGTTCTGATCTCAAAAACCCCTTCACCATTTTCCACCTTGCAGTCAAAGCTGGCGCTGGAGAGATCGATAGACCCCAAAGGGTTCACATCCTGTGCAGTTCTGTAGTACAGTAAGTGACATTTATTTTCATCATAGATGAACCAACGAGACTTCCAAGTCTTGATGGGACCCTTGATGCCCAGCTTATTTAAATAACCACAGAGTTTTTTTCTAGGTGTTTCTCTGCTGGGTTTCAGCTGTACATTTTCTGCTTCTCCAGGGGAGGAAAGCACGGCCTTCTCCTTTGCTGAGGCTCCACCGCTCCTGCTGTTGTCTGGGTTTGACTCTGCTAGCTTGCCTGGGACTCCAGCAAGGGGCCAAGTTCCACTTTCTGGTCCTTTTTTCATCTCTTTCAGGAAATATACACAGTATCAAATTGAAACAGTAAATTCTCTAGGTAAGTAAGCCACAGCAGATCCCAAATACCTCAACCTGCAGATGATGAAAAAAATGAGGAATGAGTTCAGGTCTAGCATCTGACAAAAAACACTCCCAAGCTTTCCAACTACCCAGCTAAGGTCCCAGGCTTCTACTTTTAGCCATCACTCTGTCCCTTCCTGTGCTCAGATGACGTCTACAGATCTGTTTTCTCTGCTCAATTCCTAAACCAGCCCAGAGTAGCAGCTAAGAAGCAGTACCACAATCTCTCAGGTGAAAAGTAAGCCTGTGGGCATTTCAAATCAATAGCAATAACTGGGGGATCTGAAGCCCCAGACAATAATGTTAAGTATCAGCTGCAGAAAACGTGGTTACAAGCTCTGAAGGAACGTGTATTCAGGTCAAGAGATTTCAGGTAATCTTTCCACTGTGTGTCCAACAGATACTGATACGTTAAATCACAGTGTCTGGAGAAAAATCCCACCTTATGCAGCATCCTTTTACACTGTTTGTGCCAGCTGAGGACTGCTGTTAAATAGCCCGCATATCGTGTGCCAGGTCTCCATCCAGCAGGCCTTACCTGATGGATTATGCACCAGAGAAAGAAATGCTGTAATCCCTGCAGAATGGACTAGGTGGCTCAGCGGCCAAAGTGCCCTGCTGGGTTCCTGGGAGGAACACAACGTACAAGAGAAAACAGAAAAATAAGGCTGGAAGGAATTTGTAGAGGTAGTCTAGCCACCCTCTCAGAGAAGGTGCTGACTTCAAAGCTGTGTCTCACTGAAATTTATTCACGTAAATTTTGATCTCATGCAAGGATGGCAACTCTGCTGCATTTCTGGACACTCGTTGGAGAGCTTAACTGTAAGGCCAGTGTGATTTTTTTGCCAGCTGCACACAACAATGGCCCTTGTATAAAGAAAAATAACAATACTCCTGAGAATACCTATGAATATTTTGCAAGTTTTTTTGTTTGTTTGTTTGTTTGTTTGTTTTCCTTGCCTAAAAGCATGGTTTATACCACAACTAGTGAAAGGACTACTAGAGGCTTTGGTTTAGTTACTATGGTATCTGAAGCAAATATGTAAACAAATAAACTGATACACTGTTAAGTTAGTGGAAATCCAATTGCAGCCACAAAACCACCAGACACAGCAGCCAGCACCGCGACAACAACAGGTCAGTGGTGATTAATACCATAAAGCACAAAGAGGCATTGCCCAAGCTCACACTTTTAGGAACAACTTACCCTCATGACTGAAAGAATGCTTGCATGTGTTAGCACTGGTTATGCCCCATCGTGATTACTGCTGCCTCCTGCTGTTCCCTCATTTTTAGAAATGAGGAAACTTTTTAGAAAACTACAGATAATGCTCACTTTTTTTCTTTTTCTTTTTTTTTTTTTTTTTTTTTGAAAGACAGCAAACTTCTTTCAGTCCACTCCCCTGCTGCTGAAAACATTCACAAAAGCCAGGAACAAGCTCCCGTCATGGAGGTGCCACTGCAGGAAAGCTTTTGAAGCAACTGGAAACTTCATTTCCGAGCTATTTTTGCCTGGCACAAAGGAATCATTATCAGGAGGAAGAAACAGTCTCTAATTTCCCTAACAGACCCCAGGGCTTTCAGGGTCAGTATCAGCGCAGGGACCTGCATTGCCTGGAGACTCCAGCACCCTTCTTCCTCCTGCCAGTGTGACGCTCCACGGGTCCACACCACGGTTTGAGGCGCCCTGTTGTAAGAGATCTGGTTAGACCTGCACTGCAAAGCACTCTAGAGGAGATCTCACCTCCTTGAGAGAAGCGGGGGCGACGTCCCGGGGAAGCCACCGTCTGCCAAGCACAGGGCTGCTGCTGCGGGCACCACCAGACAGGTGAACACCACCACAGCAAGAGAGGGGCTTCTCAAGCTTCCTTCAGCCCGCTCGCCGCCTGGGAACCGTCTGCAGGAGATCCTGAGCGGCGCTGGCACTGACTCACCCATGAAAAGGGAAGGATCAGCGCGGACCCTGCCCAGATGTTGGCAGAGCTGCGGCTGCCAGCCTTCCCCCCACCCCCCACCCCCGCCCCCAGTGCTGGTGCCTGGCACCGGGCAGCACTGCCTGGCACGGAGGGGAGATACGGAGATGGAGATGCTGGAGATGCTGGAGATGCTGGAGATGGCACAGCCCGGCATGGGGTGGGGGGGACATCGGCGACAGGCTGGGGGGCACCCGGGTGTCTGCACGGCCGGTGGGGTGGGGGGCACGGGGTGGCACGCACACACACACACACACACACACACACACACACACAGGTTGGGAAAGGGGCACGATATGCTCCGGGGGGGGTACCTGCTCCGCCTGCACGATGCCAGCGGCCGCTGTCGCGATAGTGTCACGACGGTGTCACGGCTCGGCTGCGAGGGGCGGGACGGGGCGGGCAGGGAGCGGCCGGGAGGCGGCGGCGGCTGTGGGCGGTGCGGAGCTTGAGTTCTCGACCTGGGGAAAAGTGACAAATAATAGACAGAAAAAATTAATTAAATTAAAAAGTCCGAAGTGTCTTTTGTGTTGCGGGTGGCGGAAGTAAAGCGATTCGCCGCGACAGCCTGCTGGTGCGGGGGGGTTCACCTCAGCACAGGAGAGGGGTTTGGAGCAGGTGGGACACCTGAAATATCATCCAGGGGCACTAAAAAACGGGGCCACTTCGAGCTGGCGAAACCCCAAAAGTCAGAAGGATGGTGAGACCCTGCTTTCATGGTCTGCGTGCGTCGTGAAAATCAGGGTCGGGTGAACTTCTGTCCCCCTGCTCCGCCTTGGGGGCAGGGGGTATGGGGCTGCTGCTCCGTCAGCCCCAGTGTGAGAATGGCTGTGAGAACCATGAGGAATTGGGTAAAGCATAAAATTTAATTTAATTTAATTAAAAAAAAAAAAAAAAAAAAGAGGTAAAAAGCATGGAACTTGGTGCCATGGGAGGCTGGATGCTAGGCTAAAGAGTCTAGACCAACCCCTCAAGAAGCCTCAGGAAGAGGTGAAATGGGCTAGAACAAAACTGATTCATTCAGTTGGAAGGGTCTTTCAAAGATCAAGTCCAGCTGCCTGGCCTCTCGAGGAGTACCCAAAAGTTAATGCACGTTGCCGAGGGCATTATCCAAACGTCCCTTGAACACCATTAGGCTTGGTGCCCCTACCACCCCTCTGGGTGCTTGTTGCAGTGTCTGGCCACCCTCACGGGCACTGCTCCTCCTGCCAGCACTGTCAGACCTGTGCTGGCCCGGGAAGGCGTGATGTACACCCTTCTCCACACCACAGGGTAGCAAGCCTGATTGTTTTCACTTTTTCCACGTGCAGTGATAGCTAAGCCTTGCTGGTATGACCCTAACCGGTGTCAAGACGTTTATTGAATTAGTTTATTGCAGACATTAACCAAGTTTAACACTTGAACAAGGAGCAAAATCATCCAGATGCATGGGTGGGACAGCCTTTCAACAGCCTAACCTCCCATGCTGTAGCAACAGCGAGCTGACGACGCAAAACGAGCGCATTCCCAATTAAAATTTATTTGTCCCGAGGCATCAAGGAGGGAGGGGAGGAACGGGTGCCACCCACAAGATGGCCGCCACCGCCGGCCCCGGGCAGGTGGCGCTCGGCGGGGGCCCCGCCTGCTGGCGGCGCATGCGCCCTGGCCCCGCCGCGCCGCGGTAAGATGGCGGCGCCGTGAGCGGCCGTTGGCCATGAGGAACCTGCGGCTGCTCCGCGCCGCCGGGCGCCGCCCCGCCGCCATCCCCCCCGCCGCCCCGCAGCGCTTCTGCCTCGGCGCCGAGCCCGGTGTGGTGCTGGTGGGCTCCCCAAATGGCCTGGTGGAGCTGGGCGCCGCCGGGCAGCCGGTGAGCGCCGCGGGTCGGGGCGGTGTTAGGCTGGGGAGGGTGGAAAATGGAGGGGGGAGAAGCTCCGGGTGAAAGGGGGGGGGGGAACGGGGAACATCTCTGAGGAAAAAAATCCTATTAAACCGTGCTCTGATATCTCTGAGGCGTCAAATTCTTCCCGTGGGTTCAGTTCTGAAGCTAACTTGCGCAGGGGTTTGGGGCTTTCCTGGGGGCTTCTCCTTTTAACGTTTTTAAAGAAGGGCGCTTTCTAGAAATCCGCGTTGTGAGTGCTTTCAACTCTAAAATACCTTCAGAACTCAAAAAACTACCCAGAAGCCCACTTAATACATCATATTCTTTTATTATTATTCGTTTTGAGGGCTTTTTGTTTCCAATATATGTGATTCTAATTAAATTATTTTTATTTCCATGATGTTTTGATGTGCAAAACACGTGTGCAATTAAATAGAAGGAACTGGACTATCTAACAGTTGTAAATCTCATCCTTGTTTTGCTGGACCTGAATGCATGCCCAAATGTTTTTGTTCATCTGAAATTTTCTGTGCTGTGTCTCTGTAAAGTCTGAATGATCCCTTAAAAATAGAGGGCCGCTTTAAGCAGCTACGTGTGCACCTTTTAATGTTATAACATGAGAACTTTCACGGTTTCCTATGGAAGTGAAGCGTTTGCATGTTGGCTTTTCTCTGATACATCCACGTGCTAGCTGCTGACAAGCAATGCTTTGTGTAACTGCGGTAGATGAAATACTCTCTTAATTGTTACTCTGTCATTTTTGTAAAAATGTCTGGTGATGTGCAGTTGTTAAGCTATTGGCCTCTCCATGTCCAGGTGACAAGAGAAGTTTCTTTGACTGCAGAGGGTTTTATGCCAGAGGATGAAAGTGGCTCCGTCGTCGGTATCGAAGATATTCCAGAGCAAGAATGTGTGTGTGTTGCCACAGCAGCTGGAGACATCCTGCTGTGCAATCTCAGCACAAAGCAGGTATCGTGGCAGGAAAGAGAGAACAGTATAGAGAGCTTTCAAGGGGAAGGTGACAGTTTGGGGGACAGTTGCATGTTTATTACATTGAGCTGCAGTTAGTCTTCATTTCTTGGATAGATAGGCTGATTTCTGTGGAAGCCTTGTGCAGAATCAAGTACAAAGTATACGCTCCATAAATGAACCAGAATCTAACCTGCAGCTTGCATGTCCACAGCCTCAGTTCTGTATGCTTGCTCAGGGGGCTAATGGCATATGGTCAGCAGCACTGGATCCATTGGACAAACAGCATCACAGAAATAGGATATTGCTGAAACTCCATACAGAATAATGTAATCCATAACTCACAGGTTTGTTAATGTTTTATTATCAGTCACTACAGAACTTTGTGCTTAGCAAATTGTGCAGACGTGAGTTAAGTGGAGAGAGAAGAAACAATTGTATGTTAAGATTTTAAAATTGTTTGGAATAAAATATGAAAACAAACAAACAAAAAAACTAGAAAAGACTGAGGAAAGACCAATATATACCAGCTGATTAAATAGGCAGGAACTGAGACGCTTGCTTTCTGTACCCTCCTTGTTATCCAGTTTGTACTGTCTTCAGTAAAATGCTTAAACACCACAGTAGCATCTTCTGAAGTCTGCCTCACCTCTGACAGTATCGGCCCAACAGTGCAGGTGTATGAGATGACTGTGGTCTGTCCGGGCTGGCTGCCAGTTTGTGGTTATTTGCAGCTCACCTCTTTGGATTCTTGTTTGGGTTTGATTTGCAAATACCACTTAAATATAAAAACAACTATCTATATCTGAAAAGCATGCCCTTCATTGCAACTCAGTGTGTGTCATAAAGGGAATAAAGATAAAAGATCTGATACATGGGACTCTTCTTGCACTGGTATATGGGTCAGAGCTCATATTTAACTTCAAATCTTTTATTTCAAGGCTTTAGGCCTTACTTTCTGAGCTATAAAGTTGTATACTTTTGGTACAGTCTGGGCACCAAGAAGCCTTGGAGGTTACTCTGCTTGTTCTGAAACCTGTTGTATGTGGGTGATACTTACTGTACAACAGCGTATAGTCCTATTCTTCTTACCTGGGGGGGGGGGGGGGGGGGGGAAATATATCCAAGCTTAATTTCTTGAATCAAATTATCTTGCAGTTCATTATGATTGTTCTGTCCCGTGGCCGATTTTTTGTTCCTTGCAAATCAGGGTAACAATGCAGTGGGCAGAGAACTACTGTCATGGTATTGTTTATACACCCATAATGTCTCAGTAGAATGGCTTAGTTTTTCATACCCTTCTTTGAAGGTAGTTCAGCTATCACATTTGGCGTTTACAAACAGCTTTTGGGGTCAGGTTTTGAATGGATATAGTGCCACTTCAGTGCACATTAGAATTTTCTAGGAAAGAACAGTTATTTCTGTTGTGTGACATCAGACTGTCTACCAGTAGAACCACAGACCCAATCTGTGGCAGTATTAATTACTGTTAAGACTATTACATGCTAATGTAGGACTGAGAGCTGCAAAATAAAACTCTTGGAAAAACTGTGCGGCAGAAAATGCTGATCTGTAGGTTATTTGGGCTCACATACATAAATAGAAGTACTTCTTTTTTTTCATTCAACACCAAGGGTGAAATAACTCCTGTGACTTCTCTAGGTATGTGAGGATTTCCTTCAGCCAGTGAGTGATGCTTGGATGATGTTGCATTGGTGTTGCTGCTCACCTGTGATATTGCTTTTGTCTTACAGGTGGAATGTGTCGGAAGTGTGGACAGCGGCCTGAGTGTCATGAGCTGGAGTCCCGACCAAGAGCTTGTTTTGCTTGCAACAGGTATTAACAACCACCTGTAAGCTTTCTGCCAAAGGAGTGGAATTCACGATGACCAAAGTGTAAAATACAGATAATTTTAAGATAAGGAAAACAAGATACAAAGTCATGAAACTGGGATTAAGACTCTGAAGAAGAAAAAAAAGACCACCTGATCCTATATATTGTTTCATTTTATAATCCATAAGGAGCTTTAGTGATCCCACCTGAAGCTGTTCAGACCCAAAAAGCTGACTTCTATAGAAAATATTTCACTAGTCTTTCGGGTCTTCCAGGGAGGTATATTTTTTGATCTTGCATTAAAATGTAAATATTCCTGTATTATAAGCCCATTAGATTGCTTAATAAATATTGCTTCTTGTCCTCTGGTAAGAAACATCTATTACAAGCTTTTCTACCAATATATCTCTCCTTGACAACAAAGTTAACCTCAGGGAAAACAGAAACACAAAGTATCACATGCTGGAGGTAAACTGGAGATCATCTATTCCAGCCATTCTGTTCCAAGTGGGTTACCTAGAAAATGTTTCTGGGAACTGTTCTCAGTCAGGTTTTGAATATGTCTAAGGATGAAGACCCTACAGCCACTGTGGGTGGTATGTTCCAGTCTTTGACCACCCACACAGTAAAAAAATAAAAAGTAAAAAGGATCGCTGCCATTGAGTTACGGCACTGCTTCCAGTGCAGCTCATGCTGTTGTTGGCATCCTGTGCAGCAGAGGCATATTGCCAGTTCATGTGCATGCCTCAGGACACACAGGGCACTTTCTGCCAAGATGCTTTCCAGCTTGTTGTCCCCCAGGTCTGTCCTACTGCCTGAGATTATCACTTCCCAGGTGTGGGACTTGGCTTTTGTCCATGTTAAGCTTCAAGAGGTGTCTGTCAGCCTGTCTCTTCCACATAACAAGGTCCTCTAGATGGAAGCACAACACTCTGCTGTACCTGCCTCTTCTCCCAGTTTTGTGTCATCTGCAAACACACTGAGGGTCCTGTCATCCAGGTCACTTATGAAGATGTTAACCAGCATTGGCTCTAGGTCCACTGGTGGTGAAGTATCACTTGTGACCAGACTCAAGCTGGATTTTTCACCACTAACAAACTTAGGACTTGTCTGTTCAGCCAGTTCTCAGTCCACATTCACTGTTCATTGATCCATCCTGTCTTCCATGAGTTTGTCTGTGATGTATGGCAGACGGTGTCAAAAGCCTCCTCGGAGTCAAGATAACAACCACTGGTCTCTCCAAATATCCACAAACCATTATTTCACTGTGAAAAGCAATCAGATAGGTCTGATATGATTTCCCCTCCATAAATCTACACTGACTACTGTCAGTCACCTTCACACCTTGAGTAAAAATGTTGATGAAGTGCCAAGTGCTTACTTCAAAAGTGGAAAGAAATCTTTAAGGCTAGTTCAGGAATTATGTTTCTGAAGAGAGAGACTTTAAGGTGTCCTTCTGTTCCAGTTTGAGATTTTCTGCTTCGAAGGATGCATTCTCTTTTGTATTGTGCTACCATTAGAAATACTCTTATACTCAAGTCCATTACAAAATAGTAGGATAATAGAGGAAAACATTTTGATCTGCTGGAGATCTCAGTACTAACGCTGTATTTGATACCTAACCTGCAGGTCAGCAAACTCTCATCATGATGACAAGAGATTTTGAGCCAATTGCTGAAAAGCAAATCCACCAAAATGAGTTTGGAGAAGGTAAGAGGTACATGAAATAAAGTTTCTTGGGCTGTTTTTGTTGGTGTGTTGTAAGCACGTATAAAGAAATGGAGCGCTTACTAGACCCTAGGAAACATTTTGGACTTTAGTTCTTCTGGGCAGCTGGAAGGGAATACCAATATTGTATTTGTCAGAGGAAATTCAAACAAGCTTCTTGTACTGGAAAACTTTCTGGGTTATGTCAATTTCCTCCAATTTTTTTAGAATTAAACTTGGATAGATGGAGTATGTGGCGTGATGCTGTAGTTGTTAACCACAATGTGCAACATAACTCTGTAAATCTTCTACTACAATGATTATTTCTTCCTCAGGAAAGTTTGTTGCTCTTGGCTGGGGTAAAAAGGAGACGCAATTCCATGGATCAGAGGGAAAACAGGCAGCACATCGCAAGCAAACGGTATTAGGTTATTTTTCTTACATTAGGTCCATACTCCCCAGAGGGAAGATATGTATAAAGAAAGTTTCTGTTGTTTCAGCTCTGCTAGTTTGACACTGCCTTTCCAGGTAGCTGTCTTCGTAGTCTCTTCCTGATTGTTTCTGTTATTTGGGATTCAGCATTTTTATCCTCTTCCTATATCAGGCCAGCAGCTGGAAGTACTTAAGGCTGGTTCATATGGAGCTCAAAGCAAGATTTGTAAGTGCTAGGGCTTGCTGATGTAAAGCCACCCTTGAATCAGCATGACAGATGTTACTGAATGTGTTCTCTGTATCAAAATATTTATATATCCGAAAGCTGTAGCATGTAGTTCAGCTTGCTCCACGAAGGCAAGAGTTTAAGGACTTGGGCTACTGACTGCCACCAGTCACGTGAGGTGATTCTCTCTGTGCCTGTAAGTTTTAGGTCTTTGTTCCGTTGTTTGACTCTTCTTCATTTACATCTTTTTTTTTTTTTTAATGAAAATTCAGGTAGCTAATAAACTCCAATTGAAAATGAAAACTTATGGGAAAATGTGTGGCCCAGATTAAAACAGTCCTGCTGAAATATGGTAGGCTACCACTAAAAGAGATGAAATGTGTCCTGCAATAGCTTTACTATTAGGAAGGATGGACCAGGATAATGTTTGGCTGTATCTAGAAAAATATGCCTAGTTTGGCCAAGTTAAACCTCTGAACAGCTGCCTTTTTTATATGTATTCTGTTGAGATTTTTTTTTCCTGTTTTGTTTTGTGAAGAACCTCTTTGCCTTGAAAAATGCTACTTCTCATCCCAACTTTTGTGTGCCATACAGTGTGGCAGCATGCCTTTCCCTCCTTCCAGGGGATGTTGACTCTTAAGTAGTGGTTGTGAACAAACCTTGACTCACCCTTGCAGCATGTCCAGCTTGGGCACAGCTGGTCTGTAAGGAGAGACTGAGGTGAAAGGGAAGCGTATCGTGTGATCATAGAATAGATGGTCATATGGACATACAGGAGGAACAGGTTGAATTGACAGACAGTTTTAATTCTAGCATTTCCTAAAATAACATTCTGAGTAGTGAATTCTAAACTTCAGTCTCACGATTGTTTAATGGGTTGGTTTCATGCTGAGCTTCTTGAAAGAGCTGTCTTAGCAATGCAGTCTGCTTAGATAAAGCCAGCAGTTTCCTTCTTAAGCATTGATGCAACTTTCTTTTGTACGACTTCAGGAAGTATCACCTACTTCAACCTGGGATGACAGCAGGCCTCGGGTGACATGGAGAGGAGATGGGCAGTTTGTTGCCGTGAGTGCTGTCTGTCCAGAGACAGGTATGGTACCAAATTCCACTGAAATACCAACTTGTTTAAAAGGCTTCTTAAGTGGAATTAAGAAAGGCAAGAACTGGCTAATGTCCGTGGTCACTTTGGCCACTTAAAACTGGGGATTTGAGCTAATTAATTGCTCCTTCCTCTATTTTGATTCAAGGGTTCAGAAAGACATTTTGTAAATGTGGTCTTTTGAATGCTTTCTCTCAGTTTGGTTTTCAGTCCAGTGAGAGGTCTGAAGAGTTTACTACTGAGTAGTTACTAAGTGAACTGTTTTTTCACCATCTCTAAGCCACTGCTTGAGCTCTAAGCAATCTCTTTCAGGTTCCTAATACCAAGTGCATGTGTCTGGGTGTTGCAGTACCCACAGTCCCTCATAGTAAGAATTTGGCCTTGCAGCCTTTATGTATTGATAATGCTTTTCTCCGGGTTTTGTAATTGTCTTCCATGATTGATATTCCTGAGCAGTTTAAATGTGTTTGGCCAGTATATTGAACTGTACCAAAGACCTATTTTTCCACTAGTTTGGGTTTTGACCCTTAGTACTTCGGATCAGGAAGATTTTGAATAATACAAGACAATTTAAATGTTTTGCTGAAGAGCAAAACAGCTACCACTGAGCTATTTTGAACTGAAATTCCTACATATTTGAGTAGAGTCACTCAATTACTATGAAAGAACTTCCTGAGACAGAAGTTTTGATGTGCTGTTGTTACCCATAAGGTGTACAAAAGCAATATCCTTTCTATTCACGAACATCCGAATTTGCTCTCCCACCCTCATGAAAATTAAGATTCTCTTCCCGGTATTTTCTTACACCTCTTTCTCCCTGCCTTCTCAACTTCTAGGTGCTCGAAAGGTCCGGGTGTGGAACAGGGAGCTTGTGCTGCAGTCAACAAGTGAGCCCATCTCGGGATTAGAACAAGCACTGGCCTGGAAGTGAGTAGCAATGAACCTGTGTAAGGGCTGCAGAGTGCTTGGTTTTATTCCCTAGCCACTGCTTTTTGCTTAGCATTAATTTCATCCTCCCATGTTTATTTTTCTCAAAACTTGAAGAAGGCCATCTTCTGATCCATCATGTGGAAGGGTAGCCCCATAAGACCTGAAAAACTTGCATTACATGTGGGAAGAAGGGATAGATTCTCTGCGCTGTCTCAGTATCAGGTGGTTTGGGATTTAACTGTGTGAAAAGGAATATTACAGGTGCCTTTGCCTGTGCTGACACTTACCTGCTCACCTGAGGATGTTAGGGACCCTGTGAAACATTTGTGCTGCACCTATGACTTCGTCTGAACAGTGCTGAGGAAGACAGATCTCCTACTGCCCTTTTCTTCATTTCTCATGTGAAAGCTTCCTCTCTGGAGAGAGGGGAGATGATTGGTGTTTAAAATGACAGTCAGTGATTGTGTGAGCAACCACTGTTTTTTGTTTTTTTTTTAAGGCCCTCTGGAAACTTGATAGCATCCACGCAAGAAAAACCCAACAGACATGATGTGGTTTTCTTGGAGAAGAATGGACTTCTTCATGGGGAGTTCACCCTCCCGTTCCAGAAAGGGCAGGTCAAAGTGAGTGCTGGGTCTGGGCTTCTTTCATTAGACTGTAGTGGAGAGGAAGACGAGATCTCTATCCAGATTCTAAGAGGAAGTTTTTGACTTTGCACTTAGTGCTGGTCCTAGTGGAAGAGAGAACAGTCAAGATACAATGCCTTCTGCAGCTTTCAGTACAGAGCAAAACTGGGGTGTTGTACCCCTAGGGTACTGCTGGCCTCTTTATACTTGATATTAGGCAAATGCTTCAGAAATGCCATTTAGGATGCCAGCTCATCCAGGAGTGAGGTGAAATAACTCACATTGTCCCAAATAATGTAAGTGAAAATCTGCTACTAAGGCGTTGTTTCAACTTCTGCCTTTGGATGCTGAGAGGTCTTTTGGCAGACCATTTCTCAGTGCCAAGGTCAACAAAGAGAGTTCTGCTGTCCCATTCGTGTATAACCTCTTCAGCTGTGTACAGCCACTGTGATGGGTTCTGCTTCAGGGTGTTTTGCTCCAGCTGTCAGGAGCTTTGCAATATGCAAGTACTGTGTTAGTACATTAAGGCATGTACCTTACCTTGTTGAACATAAGGAGTAACTCATGGTCTTGAAAACTGATCTGAAATATACCTAGTCTTGGCAGAGGCAGCAGTATCCAGTAAGAGCCATCTTTTGTTTCTGCAGGTTAATGAACTGCTTTGGAATGCAGATTCCACGGTCCTGGCTATATGGCTGGAAGAGCTGAAGACTGAAAACTCCAACCCAAGCAGTTACGGTGAGAGTGCTCTGTGAAGCTCTGGATTTTACACTTGCCTGTGAATGTGGTCAGCAATGGATATCCCTCTGCAGGAGAGGAGACTTTGGGATGGCTTATCTACAGCTTTGAGATCCTTCTGCAGGTCAGGAGGAAACGCTAGCTAGCTTGAGCTCAAAGCATCTCCCAGGTTGCTGTATCTGAAGGTGGTATTACATGGAATGCTTAGGGTGTGATCCCTTCCCTTCTCAGAGAGGGGAGATAGAGGAATTCTAAGATCGACTCCTTTGATCAAAATCAGGGGTTAAAATTTTCTTGTGCTGGGTGTTGTATGACAGAGCCCATGGTCTGGAGGGTGAAACTGTTAAATCACCTGCAGAAAAGCAGTGGGGAGGGTTTGAGATGGGTTTCAAGTAGTAATCTCTGGTAACCTTATTTTATTTTTTTTTTATCTATAGTTCAGCTATGGACCACAGGGAACTATCACTGGTACTTGAAGCAAAGTCTGCATTTTGGCAACATGGAAAAAAATAAGCTGGTGTCACTGCTGTGGGACCCAGTGGTCCCATATAGGCTGCATGTGCTCTGCCAGGGCTGGCAGTACCTCTACTATGACTGGCACTGGACCACAGACCATGGGATGGGGCAGAACAGCCAGCACGTGGCAAATGTGGCTGTCATAGATGGAGGTAAGACTCCTGCTTTCAGTAAAGAACCTAATAAGAGCCTTTCTGACATTTGAAACCTGTTACATCTTGGTTTCTTTCTGCTTTCTTCCACAGATAAAGTGCTTGTCACAGCATTCCAGCATGCTGTGGTGCCTCCACCCATGTGTACCTATGAGCTTCAGCTCAAACAAGCAGTTAATCAGGTCACATTTCACACAGATCCTAAACATAGTGGAGACATGGCTGTCCTGGATGCTGATAACAAGATCACTGTATACAGATATGGTGAGAGTATGTTTCACTATTGTTTTTTAACAGAAGCCCTGTCCCTGACACTTGGAATCAGTCTGTCATTAGCTGTACAGGGTCTGTCTGAGCTGCCCAGCACTTCCCGAAGCACTCCGATGAACAGGGTAATACTCAGTGTGCTGCTGGACAACAGACCATTGCCGCAGCCTCTCAGTTATGCTTTGTGACATTACAAGGTAGTTCTGTTCCTCAGGGTGAATGTTAATAAGGAGGAGGATGTGCCAGTTGTACATGTAGGGGTGGTATATTTTATATTTTCATAATCACTTTCTGTAGCATCTATGTTTTTTTTTATAAGGATGAAAATGGAAGGGACTCTGTTGGCAGAATGTCTGAACTCTATTTTGTTCTGTGTTTGTTAGGACAGAGGACAGTGAAGGACCCCGCTATCAGGTTAGGAGCTGTGGGTGGAAATGGATTTAAAGCCAATGTGGAAACGCCACACCTGGATAAAACATACAGGTAATACAGAACTAGTGCAACTGCAGAGTGAATTCCTAGCCATGCTGTGTGTCTCTACAGCCAGGCTGTGCCTAGGAGGATCTTGGCTTTCTGCAGTGTGGTTTTTGATGCGAAAACTAAAATCGAGTTCTATTTTCTTCACAGTCTTTCTTATTTCATGATAGGGTTGATTTGGGCAGCAGCGCTGATGAGATGATGCATCCTCTTGGGCTCCGATGCCTGACCTGGCTGCCAGATGACAGCTTCCTGGTGGTCAGTCAGGATCAGCATGCTTCTCAGTCTGTCCTTCACCACCTGACTGCAGCACCTCATGTGACTGGAGCTGAAGAAGAGCACCTGAATTTACGGTACAAGAGATTGCAATTGTGGGTGAGGTCTGAGAGTGCCTTGGGGCTTAGAAGGAATTCTCTCGTGCATCCTGGAGGCTGTTGGGGGACTGGCCTTGGGGGATTTGGCTGTCTTCCTGCAGGAGAACAAAACAGCTCATGAAGCTGCCTGCATGTAGTCCTAATGCCTACGCCCAGCCTAACAAGACGTAGTATGCCAGCATGCCTGTGTCAGTGCAGGATATCTCTATTACCTTCTCTGAAGTCCAGGCCCTTGGAGCAAGTTTCTCAGTTCTACCCTTTGTCCACATTACTAAAGTCCAGAGAGGACTGGTAGCCGTTGTTATTCCTGTCTTCCTCCTCCAACTAACTGCTGGTCTTTGTGCAGTCAGCATGAAAGGAAGCCAAGTGGGCTACAAAAATCTGCTTCACAGAGAGATCCTGAGAGTCACTTTCTGCAGCACTTACAAGGCAAAGGCAGGGTAATTTGCATGTGAACTGTAGATTAGAACAAAAGAAGTGTGGGTTTTGCAGAGTGCTGTAAGTGTGCAGACAGTGACTAGCACAGCGAGGCAAACACTAATTGACACAAGTTGTTGGTGCTCTTTTTTTTTTTTACCAGTGTCAGCTCATGTAAGTGTGAAGGATATAAGGATTTACATGACAAAGATATGGGTCCGGGCTGGAGATCTACACCCTCCACTCTGGCTCCAGGAAATGGAGGATTGGCGTTTTAAATGTATCCGCCATGACTGATGCTCTGTGTTTTCTGTACCTTGCTCCAGGTTGTCTGTGCCTGTAGATGGAGAAGTGATAAGCCTGTGCTGCAGCCCAGTGACCAAAACTGTAGCTCTACAGCTGGCCGATGGACGGATCCTGAAGTACCTCTGGGGTAAGCTGGACCCTTTTAAGGCCCCCTGGCCTGAGGTATAGTTGTTTTTAAAAAAATAAATAAAATCTTAAAACATTTAATGATGATTTGACTTGCAGGAACATGGGTGACCCTTGATAGCGGTTAGTGCTGCATTTCATGCTCCTTCTAGCCCCACAAATTGATTAAAATTAGTGATTTTCAACTGAAAGCAGTTAATGTTATTGAGAATGATAGCTCTGACTTTGTCATTTGAAAAGATGACAGGTTTAGAGGCTTCAGAAGTGGTGACTGAATGCCACATCCTTGGTGCTTCTTGTTCTGTAGTGGAATAAAGTTGCTTCTGAGCCTCTAGAAGTTACCACCTTCTATTTTGCCATGTGCTGGACTTACATTTTAATATTCCTCCTCTCCATGTCAGATAATGTCAGATAATTGCAGCTGTGGTTTCTTGGGATTTATATTATGTGGCTGTAATGTCTGAATCTTAGGCTGGAAAACAGTCTGATCTTCTTTGCTCTTCAGAGGCTTCTCCTCCAGTCCTTGAGCCCTGGCAGAGTAGCAGTGGCTGTGCTGTCCAGTTCCCCCAGCTTTGTGTGCAGACTGCTCTTACGAGGATCGGTGGTGAAGTAAGTAAGACTGTGAGCAGTTTGAACTCCTAACTTACTTGTTCTCTGTGTCAAACGTGCACCATAATTTTCTGCCCAGGTTCCAGTGATACTTAACTGGGTTCTATGTAAGGCCCTATGCAGATCTGACAGCACATCTTTCCTTGTCTTCTAGAGTGTTTCTGATGGCTTGTAGGTAACATCCAATCTCCCCTTCCTGTTAATTTCATGAATAATCTAATTGAAAAGCAAGAAATTTCAATTCTAAGATTTTCATCAGTCACTGCTGTGCTCTCTGTGAAAACAGCATTTTGCTCTGTTTTATCTGAAGCTATCCTTTTAGCAAATACATCTGCTCTGAGTTACTGCAGATCTACTGCTAGCAGTGTTTCCTGTACCTATCACAAGAAACCATCGCCAACAACAGCTTAAGGAATGAATAGCTATTTTGCTGCTATTTTCAGGGTTTCTTTCCTTCAGTGGGTATCCAGGTGAGTGCGGTATGGAGTTGCTTTAAGCTCTTCTCCTCTGTACTAGTGTCTATCCCCTGTTATTTTGCACCTAAAGCTGCTAAATAAAATAAACGAAATGGTCTGGTGTGGCTTCTGCTTTTGTTATGTTTCTGTGACAAGGTAAACCAAGCTAGTTTTCCATCCAGAAGTATTTAAAGACACTTAGGTAAGCCCTCCTGGAATAGAGATTGCCTGACTTCCTATCCAGCTTTTCTAGATCATTCACATGAGGTAGTTGATACTCAGTTGTAAAGCACTTGAATCCATTACCAGTCACTGTGGTGAAACACTGGAGATTGAGACACTGATTCCTTACACTTGTCATCCTTTTCATTTACAGGAGGTGATCTTGGGCCTCACTGATCGATGCCGTTTTTTTGTTAATGACACTGAGGTACCAAAGCATTTTCCACTTACTCTGTCCCCTTTTCCTCTGCCAAAGGCAGATTTCCTTTTGTGCTCTGTACAGCAATAAACATAGTAATTTTTCTACAGGTTGCTTCCAACATCACCTCATTTGCAACATACAATGAATTTTTGTTGGTGACAACCAACTCCCACACCTGTCAGTGCTTCTGTTTGAAGGACCTAACAGTGAAAGGTAAATGCTAGTTCTGCCATGGCCATTGTCTTGGACCTGCGATGTGTCCCCATTTTTCCACATCCAAACCTGCTGTATTTGGGTTATTTCAAAGCAGCTACTTCAAGACAGAGGAAGAGAGCTGCTTGCAAAAATCTGCAAGAGAGGAAGGAGCATGGGAACTCTGGATATTATACATTCCTCTCAGGGAGCAGGATTTGTCCTATGGCTGTTCCTTCCATATTTTCAACAGCTTATCTCTGCATTCTCTCCTTCCCTGCATGTCCAAAACTAGAAAAGGTGCTCTGGTATTCAAGGGCATGTGGCTGAGAAGGGATCCCAACAGGAAGAGTTTCTGTCCATTAGGGAGATGAGGCCCTCATGAGGGTCAGGATGACAGGTTATTGGCGCTCTACAGCTTTCAGTGCTCCTCTCTCTGGTGCATTAAGCTTTATGTTCCCGGTGTATAGAGGGCACACCTCTACTTTGTACAGCACTGCTCAGCGCTAAAAGGTTCTCGACCTGCTTGCAGCCATTAAGGACCATTGATGTGTTGTTGACTGAGCTGGGGAAGTAGGAGCCCTTGCAGAGCTACACAGGAAAGCTGTCCAGGTGGCACTGTGCAGGGGTGTGTGTGTGTGTGTGTCTGCTAATAACTGCTGTCTTCAGCCCTTCAGGCTGGCCTGAGCAGTGCTGCAGTCCCTAACAGCGAGACACTGCGCAAGGTGGAGCGAGGCTCGCGTATTGTCACTGTTGTGCCCCAGGACACAAAGGTTGTGCTACAGGTCAGTGCTCTGCACATGTCTGCTGAGGTTTGCTGTGGGGGTGTAGAGGGCAATGTCTCGGTAGGTAGCTGATCAATCTGCAAATAATGCACACAGCACTACAAAGCTGATCTCCTGTGCTGCTGCAGCACAGCACTTCCAATCTCTAGGCTAGATATGGAGTGATTTTGAGCATGTCTCTGGGAGTTAGTTGGAGCACAGGCAATTGTGTTCATACCAAACTGGGGGTGTTGTTCAAATTCCTACTGGCTGAGGCAGATTAATGTTTCGTATTGTGGCCTCTCCTGTGAATCTCAGACCCGCCTCTTAGTACTTGCTGTATGTTCTAGCAACCCTCCATTAGATTCGGCATCAAATTTGTCCAAATTTTGGAGTGCTGTGCTCGTTCTTGAGAACCAGCAGAGGCTCACAGGACGTGGAAGGATTCATCTGTAATGAACCTCTGGAGGTCTGTAGCCTAACATCCTCTTCAGAGCAGCAAGAAGCTGATAGCTAGATTAGTTTGCTCTGTGTTTTGTCCTGTTGTGTGGAGTCTAGCCTCCTGAGGAAGGAATGTTCCTGAGCTGAGAGAATTTTCAGATGATTCAGGTTAAGTGAAACTGTTCTTTAAAGTGAACAAACAAGCACATAAAACTGCAAATAGCAGACAAGCCTAGAAGAGTTAGCCTATCCTCACTTTGTCTTCTATGTAGGCTAAGTAGCTACAAGAAATAATTATGTGGATCTTATGCTATAGATGCCAAGAGGAAATCTGGAGACTGTTCACCACCGAGCTCTGGTTCTTGCCCAGATTCGAAAGTGGCTAGACAGGTAAATGGTGCCGGCATATTCTGGTCTTCCCTCCCCCATGCTGAGCTGTTTAGAGCCCATCTCTCGTAGTGCTGCAGAAGGACGGGAGGCTGGACTCAAAGAAACTGGCTTTCTAGGTAGGAATGAAACTGTTTCTGGGTCTACCACCTAGAAATCCAAATTTCGGCAGTCCTACCTGACTCACATTTCACCATTGAGGTGCTTATTTATGTACTAAGACTGAGTGGGTGGGAGAGATCTTGGTCTGCTCCGTTCTCCAGACATTTTAATCTCTTCATGACTTGCTTGCTATTTCTCATGTTGTATTTGCTAAATAATTCTGTTCAAGTTCTCTGAAAGAGAAATTGTTCCATTAGACTTAAGTGTAGTTCTCTAAGAGAGGAATATAAAAACTCAAAGCCTGTCCCTGACCTACTGCAACCTGATCTACTGGTCCGCTCAACTGCAGAGGCTGGCAGTGTAGAGGATTGACCTCGCACGGTTTTTCTGGAAGGCAGTCTACGTGGCTTGTTGCCTAGGCTGTTGTTCCCCTCCAGCTGGGTCTGTAGTTACCTCTAGTGAGCTGCATCTGTTTGTGGATACTATACCTATCCAATATGTAAACTATCCCTCTTGACTCATTCCCCCAGGCTTATGTTCAGGGAAGCATTTCAGTGTATGAGGAAGCTGAGGATCAACCTCAATCTTCTCTATGACCACAATCCCAAGGCAAGTATGCTCAGTTCTGTTGTGTCCTTTTCCATATCCATCTAGTCTGGTTAGATTCCTTCATCTTGTACATTCAAAGAAGGTCTTTGAACTTGCTCCTGTAGTTCCTGTACTTGTCAGAATAACAGTAGTAATACTCTTGTTCATTTCAGGTATTTCTGGAAAACGTAGAAACCTTTATCAAGCAAATAGATTCTGTGAACCATATCAACTTGTTTTTCACAGAACTGAAGTGAGTATAATTCTGCAAATGGAAGTATGCATGTAATTGGTGGTGGATTGTTTTGACAAAGTATTGGCAGCTGTTCAGTTTCAGTGGAAGGACTCAAACAGAAATCTCATGTGCTGGGTCATAAAAACTCAAGTGAGCTCGGTTGTTTCAAGGACAGTAAGTGTATCTTTTGGGGAATTTCAACTTGGAGGCAATCATTACATTTCTCCACTAAGGGATTGTTAGGACACCATCTGCCTGCTTTGACTTGTCTGCTGGCTTTCTGTAGAAGGACAAATGTTGACAGAAAAGGTTTTGTACCCCTATAAAGAAAGGCATGACAGCCCTGTTTGTCTGAAGCCAAGATACTTGTTTAGATTCCCAAATCAGACATCCTGGTTTCTTTCTGAGGTTGAGTGACAAAGAGGTTTTAAAGCACTGGAAGCTTCAAGAGTTCTCAGGCTTGCTGAAGTAATTTGTTTGGGAACTAGAGCTAACACTCGTCTTCTCTGTGTTTATTTTCAGTTTTGACCTGACCTTAAATCTTTGTCTAGAAGTAAAATCAAATTACGTAATTTTCAGAAGTGTTCTTTGCTCAATGCCTCCACAGTGGATTTAGTAGAATGCAGCTGTATCTTGAAAATATTACCTTCAAAGTTTTTTGTTACTACAGCAGCTCTGACCAGTTCTCGGTTTTTTTCAGTACCTCATTTGGCTAAGAATCAATTGGGATGGATAAGAGATGTTAGAGAGCTTTCTGGTAGTGTGGCAGATTGTTTGTCTGCACTGAATGACATATGAGCTATTTTGTTTCTGCGTACATTTCTGTGTTTTAATGTTACTGTCTTTGTACTGAACTATGTGATGGACCAGGCTGGTATTTGTGTCTTTTTATTTAGAGAGGAAGATTTCACAAAGAGCATGTACCCGACTCCGAATGGTAGCAGTAATGCTCAACCACGTCAGCATCTCAATCAGAAGAAAGTAAACCTCGTATGTGATATGATGAGAGTTGCCATGGAGCGTATTGACCCTGAAAAGTGAGCATTTGCTTATGGTGAAGGAACTACTAGAGAGATTTCTGTTAAATCACTAGCAGAAAAGCGAAGCTGTCCTTAATGTCAGTTATTTTGCTTTGGATCCCCTGAGGTGAACCTGTGCTCTGCAAAGCCTGTATCGCCGTACCTTCTATCTGCTGAGGATACTCTTCTGAAAAGCACAGCATCTAATAATTCCAGAGATAGCAAAATATCTTTTCCCTGAAGTATTAAAGAAATAGACGCAGGACGCCTACAAGGGTTTGAAAAACACACAATTTAGGAACACTGTGTGACATGGGGGATGGAGGGAGATGAGCAAGATTGTCATCCCAGGGAAGTGCTGGCTTTATGGAGCAGATGGCATTTCAGAAAAACCTCAGCTGTTCTGTCTGAGACTGAATTATTTTTGTAAATCTTCAGCTGTATTTCTGAATGGTTACCTTTTTGTCACCATCCTCCTTGGATGAATCAAGACTAGGCAAAAATTAAAGGGTGGGAAAATAGGATAATATCAGTGGTTGGTGAAGCAGTGTTAAATCCTGGGCAACTCATGTGTGAAACAGTGGATACAGCAGCAGCCAACAGTGGGTTGTTGCTGTACCTTAAAAACTAAGACACTTTACAGCAAACTGTGTTGGTAATCAAAGCATTTCCTTACACGGGAAACCTGTTTTGAAATAGTACATGTGAATAATATGAAAGTGGAAATAACCTCCTAGAAAGCTTTCATTTTTATTTAAAAAAAATAAAAAAGCCAAATTTAATCTGGAAAATTACACCCAGCAATCTGAGCTTTTTGATGGGTGTTACCTCTCCATTCATACTGGCTGGCATAGCAAGAAAGCTCATTCTACTCAAAACACACCTCCAGTCTTGCAATACGTTTGGGAAAATTTAATTTAAATTAAAAAAAAAAAATTAATTTAATTTAATCTAGTCTAATTTAAATTAAAAAAAAAAAACTAAACCTCTTTGGTATATTTGGTTCTCCTCTTGTTCTCTGTTTTCATTGAAAAAGCTTGAGTAGTTTTTTTCTTTCACAGAACTGTAGAATGGTTTGGGTTGGAAGGGACCTTTAAAGATGGTCTTTTCTTTAAAGAAAGTGTTGTCTCATTTTTTCATCTACTGCTTCTGTTTTTTTAGATACTGCCTATCAATACTGACAGCACATGTAAAGAAAAATCCTCCAGAACTGGAAATTGCTCTCCAGAAGGTTCATGATCTTCGAGGTGTTGTATCAGGAACACAAGAGTTGAAAATATGTGGAGTTTGAAGCTTTCATTGTTAGCATGGTTTACCCTGAAAATTATTTTAAGGTGGCTGTTCGTGGAGGTTGTCAGAAAAAAGAAATGTTCCTGAAACTAACTATGAAACTTGAAACTGCTGTTAATAGAACAGCAGTTTGTCAGCTAAGACGAGTAGTTTTGTACTTACCCTTCTTAAGTTTTGTGCTTACCCTTTGCTCATTCTTTGTCTAGGTATGTCAGCAGACAGGCAAGAACTGGAGCTGTTTTGTCTTTCAGCTCAGAACCGAGTTTCTCCCAGCATGGAGTAGGAGGTTTCTGTTCTAGGTCCTGGTGCCTCAAACTGTTAGACTGTGCTTTTATTCTGTGCTGATACTTCTGACTTGTCACCATAGCACACTGCATAAATTACTGTGCTTGGGATGTTTTTTGAAGCTGTGTGGGAAAGATTCTGCAAACAGCCAAGTAACCCCTCCTGCAAGGTGGAGTGAGCCATCAGTTTAGTGGTCTTTATGTGGTGTTTAAGGTTGTGCTAGATACTGCATCCATCCCTCAGACCAGTGTTCCACTGCTAATGATGTGACTGATGTTGTGTTTCTTTCATTACAGAGAGCATTTCTCCAAATGTCACAGCCGTGAGTGCAGAGGAAGCACTAAAATACCTGCTTTTCCTTGTGGATGTCAATGAATTGTATGATTACTCCCTGGGCACATATGACTTTGATTTAGTCATCATGGTGGCAGAAAAGTCTCAAAAGGTCTTGGTTTATAGTTTCAGTGAACAGTTTTTCTTTCCCAAAGGTTCCTTGTAGTTTGTGAGTCAGCCCACATGTTTTATTAGTCGTGGTTCTCTGCACAGGCAGGATTCCAGTTGCTCAGGTCCTCTGTGTGTTTGGGGTGATGCGAGGAACATGGCATGCCTCTGCATCTATTAGTACTTTCTGAGCACAATTTAGGGAACTTGTTTGTGCTCAGAATGATACAGGTCTGTTCTAGAGCAGCACTGCAGAGTAGGGGAGGACTGTTGTCTACAGCATTGTGGCTGCATTCTAGTTCTGTACTCTTTCAGTTTTTGCTTAGTTGGTGGTGGCTACAACAATAGTGTGTATCTTCCAGCATCTGTAACTTGAAGTCTCAATGAAAATCCCCGTCAGGATCTTCATAGAGTTTCCTGGTGTTACAGCAGAGCCTGTTGCCTGTCAATTAAAACATCCTCTTTGTGTTAACGGGCTTAAAACACAGGAATGTGATTTCCATGACTTCTGGTGTGGAAGATACCAGGCAGCTGTATAAAGGCAAATTTACATATGATAATAGCTAATAGTAAACAATATTCGGTGTGATGCATATCAAATACGTGGGACTTTTCAGTATCAATAGTATCTGGATACTGCTGAAGTTTGTGGGTGAGCCTGGTAATTTAAGTTACCAGGCAAGAGTACATACGCAGAATTGATTCTCCAGGATGGCTTACATTTTAATGAGAAATTTTCTTTAGTGTGTTATAGTTTAAAATTTGAGGCTGTCAGCTGTTGAAGATGGGGGGTGAATCTTATCAGACTAACTAAGCTGCTGTTTTTATTATTCTTCACAGGACCCAAAAGAATACTTACCCTTCTTAAATACTCTCCAGAAGATGGAGACCAATTATCAGCGGTACACCATAGACAAACATTTGAAGAGATATGCAAAAGCTCTTGGACACCTCAGCAAATGTGGTAGGTGTCCTGCACATGCAGCATCTCTAAGAAATTCTGTAGTAGAACATTTTTGTTTTAAAGAATCTTTGGGGGGAAATAGCTGAAGAAGGAGAATTTCACAAGGTCATCTTCTCTCCCGGTAATGCTTGGCTAACTTTTTCTCCATAGCTTGGTGCAGGGAGAAAGGTGGGCGTGTGTTTACTGTCCTGTGATCGTGAAGCATAAGCCTTTGTTTTCTTCCAGTTGCTGTTGACTTTTCCCCTGTTAACTCTGCTGGCAAAAGTGAAGCAAACCTTAAGAAAGTGAATCCCTTGGGTTTAGAGTGATAGAGTAGGTGCACTTACGACTTTGCACTAAAGCACCTCTTGTTGCTTCTTAATAAAATGAACCCAGACTGGCGGGGGTCCGTGAGAGTCATGTACTTTCTCTTTTGTTGCTACAAAAAATAAAATATCTCTGCAGGTCCTGAACACTTTTCTGAGTTTCTGAACTTGGTGAAAGATCAGAATCTGTATTGTGAAGCCTTGAAGCTGTACGCCTCCAGCACTCAGGAGTACAAGGTGTGTAAGCATGTGTAGCATGCAGGTTTTTAATTCTCTCACATAGTTGTTTGCATATCCCCCACACCTTGAGTGAGGGCAGGAGTGAGACAACAGTCACTTGCATTCAGGTTTCGTAGGGCGTTGCTCCTCCTGTGTTGTCTGAGACCTTTCTCCAACATACCTGGAATTACTCTTAGCACTGAGCCTGCTAGGTCTGGTCATTGAAAGAGTGGCTGTTACTTCTTTGATCTCATGTCCAAGAGAGCACCTGGGAGTTTGGTTTCTGCTGCGCTGTCTTGTGGTGTACTCATCTTGATGTTTGTGATATAGGTTTTCTGTGTAGCACTTGCAGGTTGCATGGGGACATTTTGTTGTCTGTAAAGTATTCTGGAGAGCGTTAGAGAGCTTGAGGCACTCTTAGGTGTGCCCTTTTCTAGTATGTAGGGTCCCTTGTAGATTTCAATACTGAAGAACTGTAGCTTGCCCAAGGCTATTGTCAAATGTAAATGAATGCATTTAATTTAGATTTTTTTTTTAAGTACACAACAAACAAGCCTTTGTAAAAGAAGTTGGTGAAGAAGTAAGAAGGGCGATGCAGAAACTTGTCTTTCTGCAGCAAAGTAAACGTAGAAAGGTCTCTCTCAAGAGAGATTTATTTCTGGCTTAATATGGAGTCTTTTCTTCTTTCTGTATTACTCCAGTCAAATATATCATCCCCTTCTTGATATAGATTGTGAGCTTTGAATAGTCTGGAGAAGCTGCACGTATTGATTTTGAACAGCCTGTGCCTACAGAGTTTGAGGGCCTGCACCCTCCCTTGCCCCAGTCTTTGACTCCTAGGGTGACATGGTTCAGGGAGACCTAATAAAAATTACTGGTTGGAGTAGGGAAGAAGGGGCTGATTTCCTGCAGTTTGTAGGTTACCCAGCTTCAGAAGTTAGGTATTTCCTTATGTCTCTTACTTTAGTACTGTATGAAAAGTCTGCGCGCTGATCAAAACCCTTCAGCTGATAAAAAGTTTGAAATGAGGTAGAATATTGTGCTTGGAGGTTCCTCAGGGGATGATGTCCATTTAATTCTCACTAGTGTAGGACTGCTGCTGACTCCACAGCTGATTTCTTACTTCTCTTTTGTCCCTGTCTTGCAGGATATCAGCGATGCATATGGGGAGTATTTGATTCAGAAACAGCTTTATGAACAGGCTGCACTGATATTTGCTCGGGCTGGCATCTTTGCAAAAGCACTCGATGCATTTCTGAGCAGTGGCAGCTGGCAGCAAGCCCTGTGCATGGCTTCACGGCTTGGTTACACAACGGATAAGCTGTCCAGACTGGCACAGAGCATGGCAGGTAGGCTTTGAGAGGGTGGAGGTGAACAGACCAAAACTGGCTGCTTTTATTTCTCGTTTGTTCTGATTTTTCATTAAAATCAGAGAAAACTTTGCTCTTCAGTGTTTTTCTTAAAGGACTGTAATTCCCATGGGTTTGTGTGATTGCACGTCACCTTTGTTTCTCACAGGAACCAAAAGATGCTGGGGCTGAGCTGGTTGGCACCCCAGAGTTGCTGAGCTAGTTGTGGCCTTGGCTACCCGGGGCTGACTGGTTCTTGCATTTTCCTTGCAACCTGTTGCTTAACTGCTGTTCCAGATTGTTTCCTTGGTTAACCTCAGGGAATGGAGATTTTTTAAAGCATCTGACGTGACTGAGTCCTTCAGATGTCGTTCACACAGATATTGCCTAGTCACAGACTGTAAAGGCTGTTGCAGAATTTGGTGCTCCATCTTCATGTTTTCTCCGTAATGCCTGCTAGCGGTCAGGACAGGCAGGTACACATAAAGCTACGTGTGGTCCTACTGCTGAAAAAAAAGATGGGTTGTCTTAAGAGTTTGTGCTCACTAAGAAACATGAGGCTTCATGCATGAGATGTGTCGTGAGCCTGGCACGTATTTCAGCAAGAAAATGGAGCATAATCCTGGGTTTTGCTGTACTCAGAGGCAGAGTTTATGAAGAACCCCTTAAACAGTGGGAATGGCTTCTGGGAGTAGTCTTATATTCCAGTATTTTCTTTTTCTATCACTTAATGCAGTTTGGATCCTTCATGACTTGCCTTTAACGCTTTTTCTAGTGCCCCTCTTAAATTACAACTGTAGTTTAGCAGGATGAGCACAGATAAGCTGTCTTCAATGCAATTTGCTTAGGTAATTTCTTCCTTTTTTTTTTTTCTTGGCCCTGTGTATCATTTTCTCACTTATACCCTAGCAGAAAAGCCAGTGCTAAAGCTGGTCCTAAGTTTTAAGAGACCATAAGTCCTGAATCCCATAGGTTTGATGCTTCCTGGTTATACCACAGAGAGCAACAGACATAATTCTCCCAGCAGATACTGAGACTGTGATACACTGAAGCTTTCAAGAGAGATTTCCTGTTTACATCCTGCCTTCCTCCACTTAGGGGACTCTTCACAATTTCTGTCTAAAACTGTAGGGGAGAGGTTCTTCAAGTGCCTATGAGAGACAAGAATCATCAATTTCACAAGCAACTGACTGATGATGATACAGGTTAATGAATTCTCGACATCAGGCAGCCCTTCTTTTTATCATGCAGATTAAATAAGTGTCTGAGCAGGTAGAAGGTGCTACAGTGAGTGGGATGTTCCTGTACTTTATTGTTTTGTAGTCGAAAATCCAGCTGCTCCTGAAAAGCTGAACTCCACCTTTTCTCATAGGAAAACTGGTTGAACAGAGAAGGCATGCGGAGGCAGCCATGCTCCTGGAGCAGTACGCTCAGGTAATGTGCCTCTCCTGTCTGTGCCCCAGCAATATCCTCTGTCCAAGATACACTCCATCTTTTATTTTCTCTGTTCTCCTGGGCTGCATGTGACTCCGTATGGGCTGACTACAGGACAGTCTGTGCCATGAGTTCCTTTCGGAATGGCAGAGAAGGTCTGGGTGATGCAGCAATCGGAGTAGATGAATGCTGTGTCCCCAGGTTTTCTACTCATGAAGTTACTTCTGCTTTGGTATGAAAAGGTTCAGAAAGCTGAAGTATGAGTGCTGGAATAAAGAAGTATGAGTTCCAGAGGGACTTTCCCTTCAAAAGGGGCTTTTGTTGTGTGTGTTTGTTTTGTTTTGTTTACTTTTAATGAGAGCTTTTTGTTTGTGTCAGCACTCCAAGGTACTGGGCACAGTACCTTGTACTATTCTTGTGACTGATGTTGCTGAGTAGAAGCACGCATCATGTAGGTGCTACCCAAATGCGTACTACTAGCATCAGTAGCAGCAGGTGCTCTGTCTTTCCAGGACTATGAAGAGGCTGTTCTCCTCCTTCTAGAAGGGGCTTTGTGGGAAGAAGCTTTAAGACTGGTAAGGAATTTCAAATCTCAAGAAACAGAAATACTGTCTGGATAGCAAGAAGTGGATATAACTATTTTTTTTAAGAGTGCAAGAACAGGGATGGAGTCCAGGTTAGATCTCCAAATAATATCTTGTTTCCTTTTCCTGATTCAGATTCACAAGTATGATAGGCTGGATATCTTGGAGACCAACTTCAAACCTGCCGTCCTGGAAGGTAAATCTGTGCACAAACCTGAAACTTTGCTGTGCTGTGGAGGTGGAAGGAGGTCTTCTCTGGGCCTGTGGGAAGCCATAGCACGCTCGTACTGGAAGCTGTATGGAAGGATGCTTTGATTCTGCCCAGCTGATGTTGGCCAGTTAGCTGCATTTGGCAGCATTCTACTGAATGTTTGAAGCTCTGCAGTTGCCATAGGCTCTTTTCAGTTTAGTTAAGCTTTTGAGCTTTTTCAGACTTCACAGTCACAGACTGCAAAGGAGTAGGTGTTTACATGTCTATGAACAAGGAAAACAGCCCTTGTTCCAGCACACAAATGTGTGGTGGCAGATTTATGGGCTATGAAAACTGCTGTTTGTTAAAGAAGCTCTTTTGAAAATATTATTTGATACCAGTATTCTCTCTTCAGCCCCGGAAGATGTTTGATAGCTGTCAGATGTTCTTTGTTCTCATGCTATGGGCAATAGGCTATGTGAGTTCAGCAATATTTTTGTTTAGCTTGAACCTAATTAATGTAAAGAGATGCGTTCACAGAACTTTCTTCTCTTCCTGTATTTGAAACAGACTCCTGTTCCAGAGATGCTTGTCTAGCCAGTTGGTTCTTTCTGCACCCAGCTGCATTTAAGTTTGGTGTGCTCTTGTACTACTAGCTTTGAATTTCCTTCTGCTTGAGTCCTTTTGGGTGCTTTACACCTGACTTCCAAGGTGCTTGAAGGACTGTGTTTCTTCAAGCTTCTTGTGTAAGAATGCTCTTCTGACTCCCTTGTACAAATGTTCATGTTCTTACCTTGGATCTGATCTTTTTTTGTTATTGAGCAGCCCAGAAAAGTCAGCTGATGTTCCTAGATTCTCAGAAAACAGCATTTCTTCGCCATAAGAGTCGCCTGCAGGTAGTCCGAGAGCTGAAGGAGAAGGCTAGTGAGAGCCTGCATGGTTTGTATTGAAATGCATGTGACTTTCTTCTGCATAAGTAACTGTGATCATCCCCTTTTTTTAATTTTGTGGTTCTCATTTACCCTGATGGAGCTGCGGTGTACCCTCTTGTAGCTTCAGTGGTATCTACCACCCCAGAAACAGCATTCTTCTCACCTCACCCCTTGCACCGTAGTTGAGGTGCAATTGTTTGACCTTGACCCATTCCATGAAGAGCTTTATTTTCGCTGCTATCTGTGTCACAGCTTTCCTGGGATAAGAATGCTAAACACAACTGAGAGCACTTCAGAATGAGACGGCACTGTCTCCACAATGGCAGCTTGCCTGGGTCAGACCGTGCTCAGCACATCCTTTGTGCTGAGTACCTCCTAGGCATACTCACCTGCAAGAACACACTGGCTTCGGGAAAGTTTTCTGAAAGCAGAACATTCTGTCCTGGTCCAGATCTGCTGCACTGAGATTGTCATCCCTCTGAGTGTGCCATTGAATAATCACAGTCCCTGCCAAGGCAGAGGAGCTGCGCTCTTCTCACAATTTCTCTTTCTTCTTGTGTGCGGGCTGAGTGGGCTGAGAGCCGCAGGGCTCTGGTGCACCGACAGGTAGAATGAATCTGCCCAGGCTGCTTTTGCAGAAAGCCACATAGGTTACCCAGAGAGAAGGCTTGGAATAACTGTGACCTTTTTCCATGCTGTGACAGTTGTTAATGTGTTTTGCAGATTATGAAATGCCAAATTGCCCAGAATTGGATCTTTTCTCTGAAACCAGCAGTGTTGTGACAGCTAGCGACATGAACAGCAAATACTCACACAGCAATTCAAGAATATCAGCGTAGGTATCTGCTTCCAAATTAGATGGTGGCTGCCCTGGCATCAGCCTTTATTTGGGAGGGCAGTTTGCTCATGTTTGGCATGCTCTTCCTAGCAGCTGTACATGCCTTGAAACTGTTTTAATTACAGGCATTTCTTGGTTATTTAACTCTTGTTGGAGGGAAGAGAGCAGAAAATGCCAGAAGCTAGTAGTGCAGCAGGAACTGAATGCCCAGCAGAGGAGCTGTGAGCACAGGCTCTGTGCAGGAGCTGGCTCTGTAGGCAGCTGGCACGTTGCCAGAATAGCTGGTTGTGGGAGTTTTGACACAGGAAGTAGGCAGAGTTTCTCAAACATTAACAGCTTGTGCTCTTTGTCTTAAGCTTTGCATTTTAATAGTTGGGGCTCATTATATAATTTCATACCTGTTCTCTTCCCACAGTGAGCTTCTGTGTTGCTTTTGAGTGCTCTTCATAATATAAGCTGCAGTGTGGGGCGGGCTGTGTTAAAGGTTGGTGTAGTTTGTGGGGCCACTTCTGGACTCCCTAGTTGAAATCTTGAAAAGATAGAGCTGTGGAAAAAACATGTTTTTTTTTCAGGTCACTTTCTGTGCCTCAGGTGAAAAGAGAATGCAACCATAGTATTCAGCATATCTGTGTCAGAGTGTGCTGATCATTTTGTGTCATTAGGTAACTAATATTGGCCTCTGATTAGAAGTTGTTTCCCCGTGGAAATGGGCCAGGAGCTGGGCTGTGTTAGTGCACGGCTTGTGGAGATAGCAGAAATTAAAATGTGCACAGGCAAGCACAGACCATGGCACCAAACTGTTCCAAGCGGAGTTCACTTTTGCCTGCTAGCAACTGTTGTCAACCAATTTACCCTACTTTGTGCTTAGAATGATGCTTTGACCTTGCTGGAACACAAAGCAGTTGTGTTTGTAGAAGAGAAACTGTAGGACAGCTTCCCAGCCCAGCTACCAACTTGTGTTTCAATACTGATGCAAAGATGCATCAGCTAACATACAGACAGACCCTTTTTACTGGAGAGACTAAGGGCTTAGGTAACAAGTTGCATGCATGCTGTTGACATATCTTCAAATTCACCCTGTTACAGCTAATCCTGTTGCACACAGCAGAATTAAGCATCCTTCTTTTCCAGGCGATCCTCAAAGAACCGGCGCAAGGCTGAACGCAAGAGATACAGCTTGAAGGAGGGGAGTCCTTTTGAAGATGTGGCCCTTCTGGAAGTCCTGGGAGAAAGCGTCCGTGCTGTTGAGAATGTGAAAGGTAGGATGGCAGTGATCTTAATCCACTCTCCAGCTTGTGAGAGCGGCCAGCCTCCTGCTCTTCATAGATATGCTGAGGAGAGGAGCTTCGCAGTGAATAAAACTGTCTGTGGTGGACTTTTATTCAGTTCATCTTCCTCTGCCAGGTGGAATAACTAATAGTGTGAGCTCTCCTCATTTGAAATCTTGGGAGCAGGTAAGTGAGGACCTGTCAGTGCCATGAGAGGTTTAGCTCACATTTTGTACTCAGGCGCTCTAGCAGTTGGGTGGGGACAAGGAACCAGTTCTGATTTGTTGCTCCCTGTCCTGTATCTCGATACCAGAGCAATACAGCTGTTTATTTCACACTCCTATGTTAAATATCATTGCTTGGTATTCTCTTCACTCTCCAGGAGATGTACACATCCTTCTGAAGCAGCTTGTACTGTTTGGTTTTGATGAGCAAGCTGTGGGACTGCAGCAAGTCCTCGAAGAGGTTTTGCAGCTGATGGAAACCTCGATCCCAGAAATCTGGACTCCAGATGTGCAGCAGAGTTCTCTCAACCCGGTCCGTGCTCATCTGCAATACTTTTGATGCCTGCTGTACAATACCAAGTAATTGGTAGTGCTTTGCATTCTCCAGCAAAGAACACAGAATCCTTCCCTGGCACTCCAGTTCTGCCCCTTTTTCTACAGACTTTAAGTAGATGCAATGTGTAGTACATTATAGAAGTGCTGCAACTTCTGAATCAGTACGCCCTAGATACGTGTGACAGATACAGCCTGCTGTGTCTGTCCCACTGAATACCGTGTTGGACATGATCATATCCTATAGGGCATGTGTTAATTTGTCCTCATGACTTCTTTTCATAAGCTCTTCCTTAAGCAATTTCCAGAACAAAGGAACACTCTTTTCTTTTCCAGCCCTATTGGTTGAAGTGTTAGCATAGCTTTTATGTAGTGAAATAGTGGTTGTCCATACCATTATTGTGAGATGAAAAGCAAACAGATTGGTCAATTTGATCTGAACCAGAGTATCATAAAAAGTATACTGCAAAAAGGTGAGTTTTATCAAGCTCCTAAACTTCAGCTTAACACAGAACCAGGAAATCATGAGGACTATACTAGGTCCTGTCCAAAGTAAAAGTCTTTCTCTGTAATGAGTAGTTTCTGAGCATTCAAGGTGAACACAAGATGTCCCCCAGTATCTTTTCCCTTGCCACTGATTAATCTGTCCATTTAAGGGGAGATTAAAACTGCTGAATGTGGTTGTAGGAGCTGAGGCTCCCCAATGAACTTCAAATGTTGCTGATTCTGTAATGAAAGTAGTCCTGCCGATTCATGACACTTAGAATCACAGAATCATTAATGTTGGAAAAGCCCTCCAAGATCATCAGGTCCAACCATCCCCCTGCCACCGATGTCACCCACTAAACCATGTCCCTAAGCACCACGCCCAACCCTTCCTTGAACGCCTCCAGTCACAGTGACTCTATCACTTGAAATGCTGCAAAGAAGTAAGTGCTGAGATGAAAGTTCTGTATTCCGAATGTTGACCCAAAGCAGTTCTTTCTGCCTCTCTGTCAGCTTTTCTGAGACATTTCTGGGCTTTGATCCTTTATTCCTGATCGCTTTGAGCGGTGGGGTCTCCTGCAGCCAGCTGCTTTTGCTCCTGGAGTCTAGCCTATCAGCAGTTTTCTTTGTAGGCAGCCGTGCTCTCAGCCTTCCTCTGTACAGGTTGGAACATGGGTATTACTTCTCCATACAGGTCCTGGGTCCCAATTCAACTGCTAACAGCATTATGGCTGCCTATCAGCAGAAGAGAATGCTGGCTCCTGTTGTACAAGGTTAGTTCTGGCTCTGGGTTAGGTGTGGGTGTGAGATGTCAGCAAGGCCAGCGAGCACTGAGGCTCTTCAAGCATTGACACCTGCCAACAGCCGCAGCGTTTCTTCAGCTGTAGGAGTTTATTGCTTTACCTTACGGTGTCATCTTCCTCGCGACAAGTGAGCAGTCTTCTTAACAAGGTTTTATTTTCTCTGAAGTCCTGCATTAAAACTACTGCCTGAATTGCCCTCTTCCCCATTAGTCCTCAGTTCTCTTCCCATCTTCCTTTACTACTCCTGGAACTGCCAGGAAAAAGTCCTCCAGCAGACTCCTGGCTGTGAACACAATGTTAAGGACTTCTCAGTGTTATCTGATGGAAAAGAAAGCAAATTAATTAGTTGACAGGTCCCAGAGAAACTGCATTGCTGGTACCCTGTGCTCTGACATTTCTTCTCTTTGCCTTTCAGATCCAGAGCTACTCATTCCACCAAAACTCAATAAAAATCTACAGTGGAAACTGCATCTTCTGCAGTAACTAAAAGCCAAGGAATCCTAGAGGACTCTGAACTGTTACTTTTCATTATTATTTCATTACACCCTTATATAAAACCATTGTTGTCCTGCCGTTCCTGCTCTGTTGCTCATGGGGCTGTCCCTGCAGGCGATTAAGCTGTGCCTGTGACCCATACTGCATCGTGCTAGTGGTGACAGCCGCTTGCATCCCACAGCAGAGCTTGTGTGCAGGGGTGGGGAGTAGCAGGCTGTGCAGATCTGAAGGCTGCTGACTGAACCCAACACGTGCCACCACTGTGTCCTCACTTCCAGGTGAAGCAAACCCACGAGTGCCCAGCGGGTGCTTTTCTCTTCATCACACTTCCTCCCGTGGCTGGTACAGTACCTGCCGTGAGGGCAGGTCACGTCTTAAGCTGCTCAGCCTGGCTTAGAGATCTCACCAGTAAGCCTGTACTAGTGTCAAACTGCAGCTGGTAACCAAGTAAGTTATGTTTCCTCTGCTGAAGTTGAGTGTTGGTAATAGCAGATTTTCATCAGAATCACTTTGTTGCATTAGAGTGAACCCCGCATTACTGACAGCCATTACTGCCCTGCTGATCGTGCACCAGGGACAACTTGGGTATGTGAAAACATGGGAAAAAAAGCTGGGGAGGGATACTTGTGTTGGTGTTGCACGCTGCTGGGTAATGCTACCCCAGTTATCTGTGCTTGATGCTGCTGTGTGGCACTGGCAGGTGAGCAGCTGTGCCCTCTGTGCTGTTGCAGAACAGTTTCAGATGGAAACTGATGTGTAAATTCATACCTGAGGATTAAACTTTCCTACAGAATACTTCTGCAATCTGGCCCGAGAAGTAACAGCACCGGTGTGGGGAGCAGAGGAAGGGGACAAGCTCTGCGGATGAGGCTGGTGCTTTCAGTGGAAGCAGCGTTGCTCCACCCACCCCAGCCCTTCCTCTCAGTTAATTTTGGCCTGGCAGCTTTGTGTTCAATGCAGTTCAATGCACCGTGGGAAGAATGCCAGCACCAACAACGTAATTCCTGTCTGTTGTATCTGCTGCGTTCTGCATGCATGGCATTAATGTGTCTGGTGCTGCAGGTTATTGTTTCCTTGGTGTGGGAGCTCCGTCATGTTGGGGTGGCCGCATGAGCCTGCACTGTGCTGGCTTGGGATGGTTGGAGTGCAGTGGAAAAGCAGTCCTTTGTCAGCGTTATATAAGCTTTGGAGCGGTTTTACTTCCATCTGTTCTGAGTTACATGGCCTCTTTGGGTGGTGTGGGGATGGCTCGAGCCTGTTTTCGAGCATTGTGATGAGTCTGGAAAGGAGGTTGTACGAACACAAAGCCTGAAGGCAGCAAAACACATGGACAGCTGCAGTGGATAGCAGCTTTTTACTGGGCTTGGGTCTTCAAGCTGGTAGCAAAATCTAGTCCAAAGTGACACGGAAAACACTTTCTGATCAGGGAAATAAGTGATGAAGTCTGCGGTCCTCTCCAGTTCTGGCCCTGCAACTGAAATGTGGCATTGACACTGCTGATGCCTGACACTTCAATCTGATGCTAGGAAGTGCTTAGGTCTTGTTCAGCCTTATCTATTGCCTAGAAAAAGATTTGCTTCTTAAAGATCCCAAGAAAAGGCAAAACTTCTGCTAGCTTGATGGTAATTTCCTTGTGCCAAACACACAAGTTCCTTTAAAGTCTGCGTTGGTTCTTTTGTTTTTCCATCATGGTGCTAGTCAGAGCTGGAGACCCTTTTCTTAGACATGTTCTCCTGTTCTCCCATCAAGGCAAAATCAATTCAAGTTTGCCATGCAGGAGGAAGAGCAATCTTCTTAATCATTCATATCATAACTCAGATATGAGGTGGTTGTCTCGCCCTACCTGCTCTGCCCTGGGTGAACTCCTACAAAGGAGCAATAGAGCTGGAACCAGCACCTACTGCCAGTGTGCCTCCAGAGGGGAGGTCCTGCATCCTGCTGCTACAGTCCCTGAACCTTTGCTTCTGCTTCAGCAGTAACCAGGAGTTTCCTTGCCCTGGGTTTCTGTTTGGATGTTCTTTTGCCTCCGTTGCAGTGCATCTCGCTTCAAAACATACTGTGCCTTAGCTACTGTCTTTGCAGGTACACTGAATTTGCTCTTAACGTTTGTAGAGGCTCTTGCAAACAGATGCAGCTGAAGTAAGTCATTAAAGCATAAATAGAGTTAATATAAGAACTGTCCCAGTTTCTGAGTAAATGTGATGCTGGAAGCCTGCTTCTCTCGTCAGGCAGTAGTTTGCCACCAGTCTGCTGTCCTGCTTCATTAAATACAAAAGAAAAAAAAAAAAAAAAACAGACACTGTCAAAACTAGTGTAGCTGTAGCAAAAATCTTTTAATGTAACCACAGCAAGGGGTAGAGGGGAGATGCTCTTGAACTGAATCACGTACCCTTTTCAAAAATAGTTTTAAGATACCCAGTGCCCCTGTCAGAAGCACTTCTTAAAAATGCAGGAAGGACCCCACTCTTCATACTCCTTCCTGTAAACCCAAAGCTTCTGGAAGGAGCGGAGCGAGGCCAGGATGGACCCACCAACCCAGACAGAAGACTTCCTCTGAGGTGACGCCGTGATGAGGACGTTGTCGCTGGGCCACATCTTGCTGAGTTCACTCTGGAAGCGGTCAGGAAAGCCTTCCATCATGGTGCTGCCGCCACACAGCAGGACGTTCCTCACCAGCTTCTTGTTGATGTCAGCGTCGCACTTCTCGAGGCAGCCGAGCGTCAGCTGCGGCAGCCCGGGTTGCTGCGACCCCAGCAGGGATGGTTTGAAGAGCGCTTCGGCACACAGGAATCTCTCTTTGCCGACCGTGATGAGGTGCCCGTCCGGCAGCTCGTAGTCAGCTTGTTGTTTCTTCAGAGGCAGATTCAAGTCCTGCATGAGGTCCAGAGAAGTGTAGCAACACCTCTCTTTGAGGTCTTCAATGATGCTCCGCTGGTTCTCCGTGAACGTGTACCCAGACTCGTTTAGTAGCTGCATGAGGTAGTTTGTGATGTCCAGGCCAGCGTAATCGACGCTGCCCGTAACGCTGCGCAGCACGTAGCCTTCGTAGATGGGAACCACGTGCGAAGCACCGTGGCCACTCTCCACCACCAGACCCGAGGTTTTCCCGTAAGAGTACATGGACAGCTGGGACTGGTAGGCGAGGTGCACGGCGGGCACGTGGAAGCCTTCAAACATCAGCTCCGCGTATTTCTTCTTGTCAGCCATGGAGCACAGGGGAGGCACTGACAGCAGGACGGCGTGGTCCTCCAGGCAGATCTGCATCTCCGTCTGGAAAATATACTGCAGAATATCCTGGACAGACTGCCAGTCCACCACCACGCCGTGCGTTAACGGGCTGATGAGATTTAAGGGCACACAGGTGTCCTGGAGCACTCTGCCAATGAAGGTTTCTTCTGGTTTGCCCTTGGCTTCCTGTGGGTGGTTACCAACCAAGGAAACGATATGGGAAGGCCACGGCTCCCCTGCGAAGCCACACTTGAAGTAACCCGTGCCCATGTCCACGACTACAGCTTCAGTTTGCTTCACCACCTCTAGGTAACCCTTGGTCTTTGACGCGTGCCTGTCCCTGACTGGTTTCGAGTGGCTTTTCTCTGGCGCTGCCTTCGCTGTGGGCCTGTTCTGCACAGCCATGGCGTGGGTGCAGCTGGGGCTGGAAGTGCTCCTCAGCAGCATCGCTCTGCCTCCACTCCTCCCGGGCTCAGCACGAGTGGACAGAGGGAAGCCCACCCAGGGGCCTGGTGGCAGCGGTTGCGATGTCACAGACTTGTGACATCAGGCATGGGCTGAACTGTGAAAGCAGGTGGCTTTCCTTTCTGGGTGCTCTGGCACGTAAGACCGGCGTTCTCCAGCATTTACAACTGCTGCTGTTCCAAAGCAGCTCCTACTGCTAAGCTTTAGCGCTATTTCACTTCAGGAGCCCGGTTTGACCATGCCAAAAGTGAACCCTCACACTATGTAATTCCCTTTTTTTAAATCGTGTTTTCTAGGTGAAGGTATATTAACACAAGTGCAAGCAAGAACTAAAGAAAACGTGAGCAGTGTTTGAAATTAGGACACAGCCACCCCCTCACCGTTACTGTCCTCCATTTCACACTAGGTTCTTCATTCTTTTCCAGCAGCAACAGGCCACTCTGCCCCATCAGTGTATGCAGCAGCAGCGTGGAAGCAAAGGACGCTCTCTCCCAGAGTAATACAATCAAGATTTTACAAACAACATTTTCCTTGTGTGAGAGGTCTGTGTGCTCTTTTACTGACAGCCATTTCACCCAGAGGGTGTCTTACTTAACAAGTCCAAGCTGTGCTTAGCATTAAATTCGACCCTACAAACCGGTTCTGGGCCTCTGAACAGATTTCCATTGCTACTGCTGTGCTGCCTAGCCAGGAGCTCACACCTTAGCAACAATCGGAGGATAAAGACTCACCAAAAAGCAGGCCTGGAGAATGATGGCAGCGTTGGACCACACTGCAATGTCTGAGCGTACTGCTCTGGGGGACAGCAGAGCTGTGTTGTGTGCTGTACGTGTATTTTACATGTAAATGGTTAAATATGCCCTTGTGCATAAAGAAGTCAGACCTGCCCCTCCTGAAGTCTGAGCAGTAGGTGGCAATTCAGCAGCACTGCAGCCTTTGAGCAGAGCTGGGGCAGTGTGGCTGGGGTGCTGCAGCTGATGCTTTTTCCCTGTATATTCTCGGTACACTCCTGTGACAGTTTTGTTGCCAGCCACACCAGCCCCTCCAACATTGTGTCTTCAGAAAAGCCTTTGACAGGCAGGATACATCGAAAGACCACTAAATCATTGCTTCTCCCCCTTCACTACTGAAACCCACATCTGGTCTTAACACCTCAACTTCTGAAATAAAATAAATCTGTTCATCCAAACAAAACACTGCTCCCACGCTTCCATTCACATATGGATCAGCATGGCAGCGTCGTGACAGAGCTGCAAGCACCCTTCATTTCAGAGGTCACTTTATTAAATTTTTGTCTAAGCTTTGACAAAGTTATCATGCTGCTGTTTGCAGGCTCCATTTTCCCTTTAACATTTCTCAACACAATTAACAAAACGCGTACATGTCCCTTAACATTTCGAGGTTGTTGCTTTAGCCTGAAATCCAAACGCACGGGTTGTCAGGTGATTTCCTGCAGCGTCATTTTGGCCAGTGTTTCCTGAGGTGCTCCTTTAGCTGTGGGATAGTGGATAGCTGCTGTTTGCAAATATGGCATCTGAGGGGCAATTTGAGAAGTTCAGAGGCATGATCTTTCACTGTTACCTTTCCCTTGCTTCTTACCATCTCTATCACATCTGAAATAAAACCAGAGACGGGAGATATTGTGACTGCGTAACAACATGAAAAGCGTGACACTGCAGAAATCTGAACGCCACTTCACACGCACAGCAAGTCATTACTACGTTTTATTTTAAGCCATCCACACAATTTGGTTAACTTTTAGTTAATGCTGTTCCCCAATATCTGAAATCACACAAGACCTTTTACTTACTGTGATTAAATGTATGGCTTATGCTTCTGTTGGGAAAAAAAAACACATCTAGAACGCACAAACATGGTTATGTTATGAAATACTTTTTTAATCATTACCTTGGGAGTTTAAGAAGTATTCTGTAGTAAAAGAGTTCCAGTGCTTTTTGGTTTTCAGGGCAGCAGAATCAAAATCCTGGCTGATTACATGCAAATGCAGGTGACTAAAACAAATATACAGATAAGAGAGAAGAAACGTGTTAGTGCACAAAGTACTTTTGCAGCAGTATCAGGTAAAGCACGGTCCAGTTGAGTAGGGCTGTCAGACTTATGGATCAGTCTTATTTCATCACGTTTGACCCATAGTTCTGCCACAGAAGAAACACAGTCCGTGTGTTCAAATACTGTCTCATGCCAAGCGTTCCACTTAGGCAGAGTCGCCACCCTGCACATCCCACTAGCACGTAACTACAGTCTGTATTCCTGCGGGTCTCCAGAAAGGCAGAGACGGTGGTTTTAATAAACAAAAGGATTAAACTTTGTAGAGTGTCTCAATGGGACTTTACCGGTGACTTGATGCCCACTCCAAGAATCAGAGGAAACTCAGGATCCTCTGCAGGCACTCGGGCACTGCACTGCCTGGACTTATTTACACACGAGATTAAAATCCTTGCTCTGTGTCAGGCTGCACTTGGCTGGCTTAAGAGTCACTCTGATCCCGGATAAGCGCCCTGGGAGGGGGGATGGCATGCACGATGGCCGTGCCACCCCTTCCACTGGCCGGGCACAGTGTACCACGCCCCAGCCCCACAACCCTGCTGGGGCCCGGCGGGCACTGCCCACCTGCTTCCAGACACGCGTGGAGCCCACCAGCACCTATGCAGCAGCAGCACGCTCACAGCTGCACCCAAACGCCTTGGACACCGGTCAGTTTTTAGCATTTAGGAGGACTGGTTATCCTTCGGCAATGCCAGACCGTTACAGATTTAGCTCCAAGCCTGTAAATCCAGAGCAGGGCCTCCACCTGAGGGCTCCCCCAGGCCTTACCTCATGCTGGGGATAGCGTGGTAGCCCAGCCGGAACTCCAGGCTGCCTCGAGCAGGGCACTGGTCGATCATTTTTTCCCCAACTGCATGCATGTGTTCCAGGAGCCCAAGATGCTCCCTGGTGACCGTCTTCAGGCTTGGAATGGATTCCCATGGCAAAATAAGCCAGTGGTAGCGTGCTTTAGGGTATTTGTCTTTGATGACTACAGTCTTCTCGTCTTTGTAAACCTAGCAAAACAAGAAACTTGATTAGATGCTGATTGGAAGCTAAATTCTTTATCCCTAAAACCACTGCAGTGAATTTTGAGTGAATTTTGGGCCATTAGCCATCTGCACGTCCCATCACGGTTGCAGAAGTCCTTAAGTACGTATTTGTGTTGCTAGTAGAACTGGGCCTGCCAGGAAAAAAGAGCCAGGAAAAAAAAATACTATACAGCAAGAAATACTAAGCAGCAGGGCATTCCACCTCAAAGAGGACCGTGACTGTAACCATGCTGGCCCAGCATGTCCCTTCTTCCACACCAGGCAGCTACGGAGAGAGACAATCCCGCATCCTTCTTTACACGCTTCAAGGAAAAAGCCTTCTGTTCCTATGCAGCAAGGAGTACAGTGGCCATTGCTACAAGAGGATGTGAAAACTCTTGAACATCACCAGGGCTCACAGCAGTGAGGTCCAAGAAACCCTGCTTCCACCAGGCTGCATTCGGGCCATGTGGTCACTGAACAATACTCAGGGCCCTGTGCTGAATACAGAGCACGTAGGAATGCACTGGACAGCCTCACACTTTGAAGGTTTCTGGAGTGAAACACAAGTCTCAGGCGTGCTACAAACAGAGTGCGACTGTAGACCTCCTCCCGCATTACAAAGCCAGAACCTTCAAATCTGAGCTATTTCATTTCATACTACTTTGCAAGAGCGTTCATTCATATAAAGGAGAAGCGATTTCTGTCTCTCATGCCCTCCTTTCCCGTGTTTTCCTTTTGTTTTGCCCTCTGCTTCAACTCCATGCAGCTCATCGGGAGAAACAGAAGCAAAGCATGTGGAGAGCAGGGCGGGACAGCACATCCGTGGCAGTAAAAATGTGTCAGGTTCTGAAGCAGAAACTGTGAGCTGTCTCTCTGATCTCTTAGCAGCAAGTCTGTTGGTGAGAGATGGATGGTGTCTTTGTCATCTTTGCTAATTATTTTCATATGTTTATATAAAGAGCTGATCACTCATGCTCTCTGGGCAGGAAGATTAAAATTCTGTCAGCACAGAAATCATAAGACTAATTCTTTCAGCAGCAAGACTGCTGTCCTGTCTTTATATACACACATCAGTGTTTGTATACACAACCAGGGAGAACAGACAATTGTGACAAGGTGTTTCCAGAAAAAGACACCTTGTCGTGTCTTTAATAGTGATTAAGAAGCAAAGGTTCTGTGGCTTGTGTGCTTAACTCCGAACCACAACTAACAAACTAACAGTAAGCCACGAATAATTATTTGTGTTCTAACCTTCCAAGAACAGAAATAAGAAAACTGGAGGAACAAGTAGCCATACTGGAGCCCAACTCTCTTTCTGCTTTTCTCAAGCTCAGGGAATGTGGAGAGAAATTCCTGCTTTTCACATGTTTACGAATGGTTGGAACGTGTACACAGCTTGGAGAAATATTAATTTCTGGATTACTCTCCTGTCTAATTCTCTCAAGGCAAAAATTCCACTGCAAGTGCTGTTTGATGCAGATTATGCTGCCTCTTTTGGAGATAAGCTATTAATCTTGTTTTCAGGAAGGAGTTTCTATATACTTGCAAAACTCTGAAATAAAACGAAAGTCTGCTTTTTACTTAGGGATAGGGAATATTCCCTTCAGGCTGTCAGGACACAATGATGAGAAAGCGTACAGGCTGAAGCCACAGAAGATGCTGTCAGATTGTTGCTTTCTTTCAGCAAAGTCAGCCCAAGGAAAAGCACGATGCAGCCCCGGGGAAGCAGAGGAAGGGAGGTGCGTCGGGAGCCTCCGCAGAAGGTTAAAGGAAGCCACCCAGGAAATCCCTGCTGGCACGAGGAAATAGTGTGGAGCTGGAGCCAGGGGTCACATCCTGCCAGCTGCTGCACAGGTGTAGCAAAGTTAAAGTTTACTAGAAACCAGGAAGCTGCGTCGCACTTGGAGATAAGACAGTGCTGACTGCCAGAAAGCAGGGGTCTCCACTCCGTGCTCACTTCAAATCGCAGCCCTGTTTTTGTCAGTTTCCCTGAGAAAACAAAGCAGCCATGCTGCTCACCTGCTCTCCCAACAACCTTTTTGTAACTGCTGGCCAAACTTGACAGCGTAGGGAGCTCCAGGATAATGAAGTTCTGACATTCTGCAGGCTCCCAAAGGGACTGTAAAGACCCCCAGATTAATGCTGCTACGGACAGAGATGAAAGTGCAATTCAGCCCTTGTGAGGTACGCCCCCAGCTAATCTGATCATTAAACTGTGGCATGAAAGGAAAAAGCTCGTTTAACTTTGTCAGACAGGAGCTGCTGCGAAGTACAAGTGTACAGTTCTCACCTGCATTTTTGGATCTTGCATGGAACTCTTCAGACCCTGACTCCAGTGTCCTAAATGTTCCTAAAGAACAGATGGAAAAAAAGAAAAAAAAAAAAACATTTTTATAAGAGAATTAAGAATATAATGACACATTTTAAAGCATTTTGTTATGTGCTTTCATTGGAACTATAGCAACAAAACAACAGAACGAACAAAGTAACATGAAAAACAAAAGCTGATTGACACCTGAATTATTTCCTTTCCACGAACACCAACACAGGCACTCCAAACGTCCCCACAAAGCTAGTTCTTGAAAACAAGATGCTGTTAGGACTCAAAGCTGGAAACGTAACAGCAGGGAGCTCTGTACCTGCTTGAGCTTAGTCACTGCCATGCAGGTTTGGGCCCAGGCCATCATCACACTCTCATGGAGGCTGACGTTCAAACATTATTCCAGCGCTGACAGAGAACCAACAAACTGTCATTTTTCTTTGCCCTTGCCACCAATACGGCCCTAACATAACTAGCCTCAGGCCACCAAAGAAATAAAGAACCCATGAGATTGAAACTTTCTTCAGGGTTTTGTTTTTATGCCTTCTCCAGCAACTGCAATTTTGCTGTTCCAGAAGCACTAAGACGTCCATGGCTCTTTTTTATTATTATTATTTTGTGCATGTCAGCAGGGTTAAAAAGTTCCTTTCAGAAGATTTTGGCTGATAACGTCAACGTAAACCCGGTTCTACCTTAAGGAATGACCAAAACCGGGAGGCAGGTGCAGAAGGCACAGGAAGAAAAGGGGTCAAGATGTTCTGTTCTCTGTGCACAAGCTTCTCGATAACCACTGCTCTGCCTGTAAGAGAGCAGATTTCATCTCAAGAGCCAGCACACTATCCTTGCGTAACTCCCGCTGCACAGAGCCTCAAGGAGATCTGCCCTTCGAGCACAAACTGCAGCAGGAAGCAGAGAACGAACCCTCGCTTGCTACAGCAGGCCCCTTCACACACACTCACCAGCTGAGGTGAGCATGGACACGAGCAGCTTTCTCGGGAGCCGCATGATCTCAGGAGCAGAGTCTCTGCCTCAGCACGGGGCAGCCTGTGTGCTCTCAACACGTCCAGCTGAGAAGCTGTCCCACAGGCAGCACCCACAAAAGTGATGATCAAAGCCCTCTGATGGAGGAGGAAACTCCAGGGGGAACAGCAGAAGTACTAACACCATGAGACTTGCCTTTTTGCTCGAAGTCCCCTCCTGTGGGAACACGCTGGTCTTGCTTAGCTTGAGCTCTGCAGAACTGCCTTGTGTATCCACCACCTCCGTTTTCTTTGCCTTCCTGGGCACATTTTCTATATCATCGTTCTCAGAGGAGTCCTCACATGGCCTCTTTTCAGCTTGTACTTTCTCTTCTGCTTCTGTAACATCTTTCCCCGATTCTTCAGCAAATTGCACGGTGTAGGGGTAAAGCTTATTCACGATGTGCAGAACTTGGCCTGGCCTCATTTTCACCTCTTCATCCTTGCCAACATCCACTAAATCAACACTAGTTGGGTTGACTCCTATCTTTGGCAGAGAGAAAAAGATTAAAGGAAGTAAAAAAAAAAAAAGAGAAAGAAAGAAATGCAGAAGATGCAACTGAAATCACCAGCAACTGCTGCTCAGTAGCCCTGGAACACCACTATCCAGTAAAGGAAACGTGCTTTGTCTTCACCCCCTGCCTGCCCCACAGCGACTCACTCCCAGAATCAGGAAAGCTGAAAGCTGGAGGCACCTTGCTGCCTGTCTTGCAATCACAGCCCTTGGCTCCCTGTGGAAAGGACCCAGCAGCTCTACTGCAGCTGGCTACAGAGCTACAGGAAGACCTGTGCCTGGCTTTTCAAAATATACACAACCTACTGCTAAAATAGTAACAAAGTTAGTAACAATTATTTCTGAAAAAAAAAAAAACAAAAAAAACAGTGGTTTTAAGAAATTATTTCAGTCCAATTCCCGCCAGAAAGCCTCCTGAGTTCAGATTACTTTATTTCCTCTTTCTTCTCTTTTTTACTATGTTTTGTTTCCTGCCCAGCACCTACCAAACTCTGTCCCATCAACGCATCCACCTTCAAATGCGTAATCTCACTCTTTGGTTCCTTTCAAAAGAGCTGAGGCTCACTAAGCACTCCACTAAGGCTTTCAACACTCCCCTGTGTAACCAAAAGAACGAAAGAAAAGCCAGGAAGCAGGTTATTTGAGCCCTCAGAGAGCTCAACTACGCAGGGATAAGCTCCTTTGTCCTGGCTTTTTTTGGGTCCCAAGGCAGATGTAGTAACTTTTCCCCACTCCACAGAGGACTGTGTTCACACAGTGAGAACACTTGCCTGTTGCTTTAAGAGAGACAAAATCTCTCAGCCCACCTCAGCTTGTGCAAAACATACACAGGTCTATCTGTGTTTTAAAGCTTTTGTTTTCATTTTGCATGCTATGCTTTCACTAAACCAGTTCTGCTATTGACTTTCCTCTAGCAGAAGCTCAGGACAGCACAATCAAAATGTACTTGCTCTTCTCGTTTCATCATTTTATGGATCTACACAACTCTAAAATGATTTTCCACCCAAAACGGTGCTTTAAAGACTGAGAAGTTACCTGAAGTCCATCTGATAACTGAAAAGCAGCATTTTTTTCCTTTGTCTCAGCCTTAGCCAACAACATGGTTGTGTGGGCAATCTAATGGTGACTGGCTGAAGACAGGTTTGGCCTAATCAAGAGGGTGACCTGAGGGTAGCCAGGAGTGCCTGGTTTCAGCAAATGCTTATAAATAAGTTGTAGGAAACCAGCTCTTGCTTGTGACTGATAAACTCTGACAGTGTTTCTTCAGTTTGGTCCTAGGGAACCCGTTTGTTTCACAGGATGGTACCGTGCCTCTCCCTGCCCGCTGTCTGCTTTTACGAAGCGCCTGCCTGATCCCAGGCAGCACCTTTTCAGCCTACACTTACACAGAGTTTCACTGAAATTAAGTACATTTCACACACCCCTGGCCAACTGGGCTGTTTAACTGACCACCGCAACCCTGTACAGGGAGAAAACTCCAGAGCTGGCAGCGTAAATGGGCTAACATCCCCTGCCAGGGGGTCCTCCTGGCCCTGAAATACCAGCAGCACTGCATTCAAATCATGGCTAGGACCGACTCCTGTGAGAGCGTCTGCGAGATTTCTGCAGGATTCGCCACAGACCAGCAGGGGCTCGGGGCTTGCTGAGCTCAGGAGGACATTTTGATGGAGGATAAGAGGGCTGATGTGTTGTCCACGTGGATGCTGCTGCTGTGGACACCTGCACCTGAGGACAAGGAGCTTTCCTTTCACACTACCCTGGGGACACTTTGTGAGTATGAGAGGAGGCCTACGCCCACCCAGTATGTAACACGAGGATGCCTTTGCTGATGTCTGACAGCACATCCCACCTTTGTGGCACCCACATCTTTGCCTGCCTGTCGCTTGCAACAAAAACCCTCCACAGCTGCCTGGACCCGTGAGTACGGGGCGCGCTCTGACCCCTGCTGAAGAGCTGCCTCAGCTTCAGAAAAGCAAGACGAACGCTCAGGAAGATCGGCAAGTTTAGGGGATGAACTACAAAATCTGCAAGGCGTGGAGCTGGGAAGAACAGGCCGAGGGTCCGCAGCATTAGGGGCCATGCGTTGTGTTCTTCTGGGTGAAAAAACTGTGTGAGAAGCTCCAGGCACGGCGGCGAGGATTGCCCCCTACGCTATTTAGGGCTCATTGAGCACCCTACCTGCACAGTACCACACAGAGCTGGCGCAGCAGCATACCTGCCTCACCGTGACGTACCCCTTGCTGCAGTCGGCTTGGAGCTGAACTGGAAAAAAAAAAGAAAGAAAAAAAGAACAAAAAGCGTCAGAAAACGCGCAAACCGCGCGGGGGCAGCGCCGCCCCGCCCCGCTCCTCGCTCCCGCGTTTTGCCCCCCCGCCGGCCGCACCTTGCCGCCGCGAGCACCTCCTGTCCGTTATCCCCGTCTCGGGGCCGCGCCCCAGCACCACGGCAGCCGCGTGAGCCAGCGGCACCCGCCGGCCGCCGCCGCCGTCCCCCGGCACCAGCCAGCACGCCCGCATGGCGCCGGCGCTGCGGGGCTGCCCCCGGCCCCCCCGCGGCCCGCCAGGCCCCGCTGGGCCCCGCTAGGCCGCGCTAGGCCGCGGCGGGTTGGCCCGGTTGCCATGGCAACGCGGCTCCACCAATGCGTTCCCGCCGCGCGCGCCACGTGACCCCCCTGACGGTAGGAGGCGGGGCGGGCGGCGCTGACTGGCTCGCCGCTCTTCCCGCCCCTCGCTGTGATTGGCCGCGCTGCCCGCCAAGCAGCGGCTTCCGGGGCGGGGCGGCGCCGGCTCAAAAGCGGGCGGATGCGGGCCCGGCTCAGAACTTTCCAGAAGGGTCGCGAGCGCTCAGGCGAGCGGAGCGGAGCGGGAAGGGGAAGGGAAGAAGGGGGCGCCGCCGGCATCGTGACGGGGGCTCGGGGCCCGGCCCGGCGGCACCATGGTGAAGGAGACGACGTACTACGACGTGCTGGGCGTGAAGCCCAACGCCTCGGCGGAGGAGCTGAAGAAGGCGTACCGCAAGCTGGCGCTCAAGTACCACCCCGACAAGAACCCCAACGAGGGCGAGAAGGTGGCTGGGGGGGGCGTGGGAGGGGGCTGGGGGGGGTCCCGGTGCCGTCAGGGCGGCTGGCTGAGGCGCTGTGTGTCTGTCCGCGTCTGTCTGTGTGTCCGTCCCGCAGTTCAAGCAGATCTCGCAGGCCTACGAGGTGCTGTCGGACCCCAAGAAGCGGGAGCTGTACGACAAAGGCGGCGAGCAGGCCATCAAGGAGGGCGGCTCGGGCGGCGGCTTCGGGTCGCCCATGGACATCTTCGACATGTTCTTCGGCGGCGGCGGCAGGATGCAGAGGGAGAGGCGAGGTACCGCCCGCCGGGGGTGGCTGTCGGGGGGGGTGTTCCCGCGGCAGCAAAGCCCCGAAAGGGCGGCGAGGCAAAGTTAGAGCGCGTGGTTCACGTGCTGGGTCTGCTGAGCGCTATCTCGTGTTAATGGCTAACCCGACCCTGTGCGCGGACAGCCTGAGGCTGAGTAAGAAACGGTAACGTGCCTTGAAGCGGTCTTTTCGGTAGCCTGCTGTAGAAGTTAGCCCATAACCATTAATTTCTCCTTTACTTAGAGTTAAATGTATCAAAGTGTGGTAGCCACATAATTTCCAGTCCGTGAAACTTTTGTTTTCTTGTGGTGTTGGTTGGAATCGGGCTGAAGCTGCGGTGAAACGATGCTCAAAAATTAAAGTCCGGATGGGTCACGCTGGGAGAGTATAACATGAATTAAACTGCTTCAGAGCAGTGCTGGCCGCAGCACTTCCTAGGTGTGATCTCCAAAGGGACAAAGAACTGAAAAGGCTGCATGTCAAAATGTTACGTTTTTGTATCAGAGTATCACTTTTGTATCACAGTCCTGTACCAGGCAGGACTGGCTACACTCCACAGAAAGAACCCCGCAGTTGCTACAGTTGTGATCAGTTACCGGGCTGTTCCTTGGTTCAGTTCCGAGAAGTTCCCTCCTGAGAGGAAAAAAGAACCATGCGGTCTTTCAGCAGTGCCTCACGCTTCCCTGTGGCAGGCAGAACTTCTTCCTTAGTCGCAGTTAAAATTGAAATCTTGCATCTGAGACTTAAATATAAAGCTTTTATTTTTTTTTTAATGTTTTGTTTGTTTAATTTGTGCCTCCAGAGAAAGGTCTCTGGCTTAACCTAATAGAGAAGCATTATGGACAATGCTATTAGAACAGTTACTTAATTATAATTGCAAATGGAAAATAGCAATTGGCTAATACCAGCAACACAGCTAAGCAAGATGCTAAAACTTAAAGGTTTTTTATTGTGATTGGGGAGGGCAGTGGTGTTACCATTACTTTGAGTCCAGACGCTCAAGTAGTTACACATTTTCTTTTACAGGCAAAAATGTGGTCCACCAGTTATCAGTCAGTTTGGAGGATATGTATAATGGTGCAACGAGGAAACTGGCGCTGCAGAAGAACGTTATCTGTGACAAATGTGAAGGTAGCTGTGAAGTTGAAACGCTGTAGCCTTTGTTTCTAAAGCTGCAGAAGTAATCTCTGCTTCCTTGTTTCTTCTGGCAATGTGTAACCATCCATCCCTGATTCTCCTGCCAGGACGTGGAGGAAAGAAGGGCGCGGTGGAGTGCTGTCCAAACTGCAGGGGGACGGGCATGCAAATCCGAATTCACCAGATCGGGCCGGGCATGGTGCAGCAGATCCAGTCCGTGTGCATGGAGTGCCAGGGGCATGGGGAGCGCATCAGCCCCAAGGACCGGTGTAAGAGCTGCACTGGCAGAAAAATCGTTAGAGAGAAGAAAATACTAGAAGTTCACATCGACAAAGGTGAGGTGTCCTGCTAAGATGAAGCATTAAGCTTGCTTGTACTCACACTGCCTTTGCAGCACTGAAATAGAAGCTTTAACAAGTACACAGTGTTGATTTGGTGAGTAACGCCCTCGAATACATAATGAAGTCACTTGTTGCTGGCTCCAAAAGGAGGAGATCTGTTTTTAGGGAAGATTGATCACTTCTGTGTTAGCATCTTAATTTCTGTGCACATAGCTGAGAATGAATCCTGAAACGTGCTGTGCTGTCAGCAGTGAATTGTTTTTATTTAGAGCAGTTGTGTAAACGCTGGTCTTGATCAGGTAATGGGACTAGTTAAAATCCATCCCTTGTTGGTCCAGCTGCCCTGATGACTTTTTGTGCGTAGGGAAACCACGCAGACTCCGATCACTTCTACTGTGTTTCAGTGAGAAGGGGAACCAGGTCTGCTACAGTAACAGGGTGCCAAGACGGTGCTAAGCCCCTAATGCTTAGAACTGCTCGCTGCGTAACCCTGACAGTGCTGCTTAGCACAGGTGCTCTTGGCATGGCCAAGTGCAATTCACAAACCCTCACAGGGCTCAGAGAATGCCATGTTGAGTGACAAATACTTGAGGAAGTTCTTCAAAAGGTAATGGGAGAAGTCTTGGAACCAGAGCAGCTTGTAAGATAAGCTGTGCTGACAAGCACATGGCTCGTAGAGAAGATAATTTGTTGCAGATCTGTAACTATTTTACATGTATGTATAACCACAGTGCACACACTGCCCTGCTTTAGTTTCCCCTGGGAAAATCCTACAGTAATGCTAAACTTGAAGGTCAGGAGGGAAATATTACTGGCACTTCAAACAAGGAGACCCATTGAAAAGAGCTTTTTCTTTTCCTTATAGAAAAAGACTGAGCTAGAATGAGGCAGCAAGAATTTATGTATCATGACTTCTGTGTCGGTGATGTGGGTGTCTGAGATCATAGAATCATCTGAGTTGGAAGCGACCCACAAGGATCATTGAGTCCAAATCCTGGGTCCCCAAAGGACCACCCAAAAAAAAAAATCAGAGCAGTATGTCTGAGAGCGTTGTCCCCATGATTCTTGCACTCTGACAGGCTCAGGGCTGTGACCACTGCCCTGGGCAGCCTGTCCCAATGCCCGACCACCCTCTGGGTGCAGACCCTTTCCCTAACCCCCAGCCTGAGCCTCCCCTGTCCCAGCTCCATGCTGTCCCCTTGGGTCCTGTCGCTGTCCCCAGAGAGCAGAGCTCAGCGCCTGCCCCTCCGCTCCCCTCATGAGGGAGCTGCAGGCTGCCATCAGGCCTCCCCTCAGCCTGCTCTGCTCGGGGCTGAACAAACCAAGGGACCTCAGCTGCTCCTCATATGTCTTCCCCTCCAGAACCTTCACCATCTTGGTTGCCCTCCGGTCCTAGAGAAAGCGATTCTTGCACCATGCAGTCACTGAGATCGTGTTTCATTAGTCTCTCTGCCACATGTATTTATAGAACTTGGATTGATTGGCTATTCTCAAAATGAATTTTATACGTACCGTTTGTTATCTTTGCAGTGCTTGCTCATACAGTGTTACATTTAAAGATTTTATCTTGGCAGGTGGCTACTATGAGCTACAGTTAGGCTTAATGATTTTGAGCTGTAGCTCAGGTTGGCAGCAGTAAGATCTGCTGGACGTGCGAGCTGATTTGAGGGGAGAAGTAATGTTGAGGGAAGAAGTTCGTAATGTTCTAATATCGAGATTCAGTGATTTCCCAGTATCAGCTTGTGCCTATACAAGTATTTCTTGTTGCTGCCTTTCAATTAAAAAGCTGGAAAATGCTTTTGCTTTTCTACGACAGGAATGAAGGATGGTCAGAAAATAACATTCCATGGTGAAGGGGACCAAGAGCCAGGACTAGAACCAGGGGATATTATTATTGTCTTGGATCAAAAAGACCACTCTGTATTTACAAGGTAAGAACTTCAGAATCCTTAGTGTTCGCTCTTGATTTGCTTGTTTGCATGCTTCCTTGGTTACTGCTGACTTCCTAGCTCCTGGAAATGTGAGTAGACAGGATCCGGTGGCTGGAAGTCACCTGTGAGTCCTGATGTGTGCAGAAACCCCGGTGCAGTTAGCCAGAGCCACGGTTTTGAGTGTCAGGCTGTGCACGAGTGGTTACCTGGGACCTGAACTCAGATGGCTTATTTTTGTCCATCCTTCTGCCCACTGCCTTCAGTCCTGGTGTCCTCAGATAACCCTTGATATTACTGGTTTTGCGGTGTTTTGCTGAGCTCGTGCCGCTTCTGGGACAACTGGAATGTTCCTCCTCTCCCTTCGTAGTCTAAAATTAACTTTTCAGGCAAGTCTCATTCCAGAGACCTTTAAAATAGGGTGAGTGAAGTAACTAAGTTCTTTAAATAGGCTTGAGGATTTCATAGCCCTTGGACATGCAGTGCGTCTGGACATCACTTGTGCTGCCATACTGAAGCCAGAATGGGCGATTAAAATGATTGCTTTGTAATGTCCAGGCGCTTTGTGATTCATTGTACCTTCATCAGAACACATCATGGCTGTGGCCTGCTTACAATTCCCTAGCACCAGGCTGTCAGAAGGCAGGGCTAACAAAATAACTTTTAGCTGGCTGATACACCAGAGAAAGTATTAATATACCTAAAAGGAAGGGATTGATTGTCCCAGCTCTTCCCTAGAATTGGGAAGGCGTGGTGAAGTAAAACTGAATGCAGATGAGCCTTACCATATTTATTTCTTTCCAGTAAACACTTCACCACTTTGAATAGCT